AATGAAAATAAAGCATAGTTGAAAATATTTAACTAAAACATTTTTTTCCATAACGTTGGTATTTAGCTCAGCTAAGTATGTAGATGGCTTAGTAGCTTGTTTTTGACAAAATTTTACAGCCCAGTTGTATCAACGCAGAAAATAAATTTTGATATAAATATCATATTGACCCCAGTCAATATTAGAAACCCCATCTGTATGTTTTGACTAACTCAGGAGTCCTCATTGAGGTATGGCTGTGTTCCACTAGATATAGAATGTAAGGGGTCCACATCTTAGCTTTTACGTAAAAGGTTACTCCAAGCAACATTACCACGTCATTGATTTTATAAGTGGCCATGGTGCCTGAAGTCTATGTGGAGCATTTCATAGTGAACGATTGAGGGATGAGCTTGTCTTACACATTGATTTCTAATTTGTATATTCGCAAGTACTTTCCTTGATGGTAAAGGTTATGATCAGATGTGGATCTCTTGCTTTCTGGGCCTAGTCAGACATTAGTCATATACCAATGTCTATATCTGACATTGTTGTGCAAGGAGATTTGGCACTCAGATCTGGAATGCCTTTAGAGACATGCTCATGGATATGTTGTCTTTGGAATGGCACATACAGCAGAAAATGTGTCGCGTGCTATTGGATAGGAAATAAATAAGTGAATAAAACTACCTGCATTCACATTAGCACCATTCCCTTTACTGTTCTTCTTGTGTAACTTTGAGAATGTGCAAATTAAAACTTTTGATCATTTCTTGCACCCTGCAATTATCTAGGCTCACAATGAAAATCAAGCAGCCTGTGTTTTTTTTGTTTGTTTTTAATCTGTTTTGGAAGGTACCATTTTTGCACCCTGACATCCTGTTACTCTATACATCTGAGCACCTGCTAAAATTTAGTATTTTGCATATCAACATATATAAAAGTGTTCCTTTTTTTTGTTTCTGTAGCTGTGATGAGTCCAAAATGCATGTGTATAATACCCATTTCATAAAATATTTTTAAATGACTTTTTTTCTATTTATTTTAATTTATTTCAAATCAGAAATAGTTTGTTTTTTGGTCATTTATTTATTTATTTATTTATTTGTTTGAGGCATTGGGTTCAGTGCCAGGATATTTGAACACAAATGCAATTTGAATTCTTCATGTATTGTTTAAGCTTTTTGGCACTTTAATACCACCATTCCTTTATTACTTTTTAGAGAGTTCACTTTGTCTCCGATCCTTGCACTTTGACTGTGAACAGTGTTGTTTTTGGCTTCACCTCGACAGACTTGCTCTTCCACATGGGTGCAGAGGAAATCAGCAGGTATGTCTTAAACATCGGAAAAGGGTTGGAGAGTGCTTAATTCAGGTGCAGTAAATACAACGTTTAAGTAAACATCTTTTAGGAGCTGTAAAGCATGTGATCTCCAAAATAATAAATGGTTATAGAAAAGACTTGATTACACTAACACTCTTTGCCCACCTTATACATGGCAGCAATATTAGCAGTGGAGATTCTGGCCACCAAGCATAGGAATGCTGACACAGGGGCATCTTGCCCATGCACTCTTGTGTTAAAATATTCCCAGTAATTTCAGAAGCCTGGCATATTGTCTTATTTTTAATATTTTGTACCATAATTATCCCTACAATACTTTAATTGTTGCTTTAGTTTTGGTGCTGATGTCAACAGGTGCCTAGGTCATGCATCAGTAGATAGTGGCATGAAAACATTAAAGCATATTTGGCAAGCTTCCATTGGACACCCTGCTTATCTCTTTGCCTGCAACTCCTTGACAAAATGCTTAAAACCTGGTTTGATGAAGTCTCATTTTCGTTTTATCTAAACAGCAGCTCAGCAGGGGCACCAGATCGATTCAGCCGGATCCTCAAGCACATTCTGACTCAGAGGAGGTGAAATTTATTTTTTGCATAACCATACAAACCAAACAAACTGCATGTTCCACTTTGATTAATGTTTGATTAGAATCATCATACGAGTAGTGTTCTATTAATGCGGGTGTACAAAAGTTGTATAACAAAATATGTGCCTTGGATGTTGCATATGAAGAGCAATACAGAGGCACTGTCCTAAAAAGTGGCGCCATTAACAAGAGCCCATTGGTTTCTATGGAATTACATTCTCTATATCTTTAATTTTTCTTATTTTAGCCTAAAATTTTAGGTTCGTTTTCAATTCCCCACAATTCACACTTTCGTGAATGATTTTGAAGATAAAACATCTTGGCAATAGATTCTGCTGTCACTTCCTGCACAGATCTTATGGCCACTTGTAGCGTATTCTGTAGAACATTGCTTGTGCTAAGTTCACCATTACTGATAATATTTTTTTTTTTCTCTTCCAGTTACTACCCACTGTACCCACCAAGTGAGGAAATGAATATTGACTATGAAGGTCTCTATAGCTTTGCATCCATGCCTGTCACACCAGATATCTTTATAATACCTTCGGAGCTGCGCTATTTCATTAAGGTTAGCCTTGTGTTCCACTCCAATATATTTGTATGCATGGCAGTGCTTTTAATCAAATTAAAAAAACAAAAACACGGGTGGTAAATCCCAGCTTGGTATCCTTTTTAATCTGGAAGTTGTCTAATAGATTCAGATCTCTGCTTGAGAGAAGCTGGACAGAAAATCACTCTAAATGTATTCCCATTTTAAATGCAAATTTGCACTTGGTAACAAAACAACTGTCAGTGTCTTCAACTTATTCCTATCTAAGACCCAGATTCCCCCAACATTTTTCGCGTGCATGCTGTTTGTGTGTGAGTTATACAGTGACAAAATGGTCTGGTTAGCCTCTAAACACCTGTTCAGAATTTAAAAAAATTAGTTATCTTCTTTCTGAGTACAATTTTTAAATGGCTGTCATAAATCATAATGTTAACCTAAAACTGATGTAAATCTCCAGTATGATGAGTTAGATCAGGGACATTTATAACAAGTGGATGATTTGGCCTGGCAAATACACTCCCACATTATAAATAAATGCATTTAAAGATAATGCCAGAGTGTGGGAAATGTATATGCCCCTTTTGCCCCCACCTGTAAATAAAGGGTCAATTTATCATAAATCCAGCAGGGTCCATTTTGCCTGCCAGAGATCATTAGTACCGATGATTTCCCAGCAGATCTGACAGAGAAGCACTGTAATGCAGGAAACCTATATGGCTATTGATATGCTGCATCTCCATTGCTTACATTTTGTGCTGGGGCAGGAAGCAATCGAGAAGAGCACCCTCCAAACTGTCTGACAGATGGGAGGCTGCAACCATGTCTGTTTATAAGAGTGCAGGTTTCTATTGAAATCAGCACTTTTATAAAGTGATAAGGAAAGGACACTCTGTTCACAGAACACTCTCTTAGCACCATAACCACTACAGCCAACTGTGGGGGTTATGGTGACAGGAGTGCGTTGGTGCTTTTCCACAGTAAGTAGTCCAATCACCTCTGCCTCCACTGCAAGGAGCTTTGGCTAGCACACTGAGCTAAGCTTGCTGTACAGGGCTGGCTCATTAGCTGAGAATGCCAGATTTCATACATACGTATATTTCTAAAGCATTTTTCTCAATAGGAGGCAAGTGATGAACTGAGAGCATCAGCTGATGTTCTCAGCCTACCACCAGTGCACATGGAAAGGCCTCCGCAGTGAAGCCAGGCTGAAGGAGGCAGAAGGGTCAGGTGGATGGACCTCAATGGGATTAAACCGTTCATAAAACGGAGCCTCACTGAGATTAAGTTGTTATGGTGCCTGGAGTGATCCTTTAAGGGAAGATTTTAATGTTCGACAGCACTGGAACCTACATGCCAATGTGTTGCTTGAGATTAGTGGGAGTTGTGCACTAGGGCTGCATGCTATTGCCATTGATTCAATGTGAGACAGCTGAATTCAAACTGCGGCAGCTGCCTCTTAAGATCTCTACTCCCACTAATTTTAGGCAGATCAGGACATGTATGTCATTACAGGGAATAATTGTGCGGTTGATATCACCATCTGTGAACTACCAGATTCTGGTATTTGAAATAAATGGCAGATCGTGACACATTGATCTATGTAAATGTGTTTATGTGCATCTTAATAGGATTTGATATCTATGAGTAAAGCAAGTCACTAAAGTAAAGCATTTAACATAATTTGTGTGGGAAGAGACATTCTCTGCATGAAGATGTGGGAGTAAAACTACTATGCAGTTCTTTGTACTTCAAGTTCTTTGCAAATTCTTTTAATAACTTTTTTCCCCCCTTTAAATTCCATTCTACTAAAGGATATCAGCGGCTGTATCTGCATTAACCCTGGACGTCTCACAAAAGGTCTTGTAGGGGGTACCTATAGCCGTTTCCTAATTAAAAGGGAAGCTGTTGGCGCAGAAGGAAGAAAGTCTCCTTGTGTGTCTGCCCAGGTGGTCAGGATCTGATGAAGTACCTCTACACTGCATTTTGGTGATGATTATGATGCCTGAAGAAGAATGGACTTTGGAGAAATCTCCTTGAAGATACTTTGAACTGGAGTCAATTATCAGGGGAAGAAACTACAATACCAACTTCACTCTGCAGAGTCTCATAATTTACATTGATTAATAATGTTTATTAAGAAAGGGTGTGAAATTCTATTTACAAGATCTGGTGCATTGAAAATCAGCTCACACCTTCTTATTGCCAGATGGGTGTCATGCCTGGGGCCATGGCTGCTCTTCTTCCTGTTTAATTATATGAATAAAAAAAATTTGTATCTACCAGTGCAACAATCCCCTGCTTCCTGAGACTGATAGATTAATGAGTTTAGCAACAAACAAAAAAGAATCTTAAGGTGCTATGTATCCTCTTTGAAAAAAAAAACAAGCATTGTTTGCTTTTTTTTTTTCCGTTGTTGTACAAATAAAGCTTAAGCGAGTTGTGAAAAAAAAAAAAATGTGCTTGGCGCCTGATTGGTCGGGTGTCCTGATTGGCTGCGCGCTGCAGAGGGTGTGTGTATGTGAGCTCCCCTCGGCAGTCTTGGCTAGGCTGCTGAGCGCGATGTGTTGGTTACTGGGACACTGAGAACCGGAAGTACTAACCACTCCCCAACCACGTCCGCAGGAGACCCGGGACCCCGCTGGAGGTATATTATATATCTATTCTATATGTTATTATGCCACCTATTACTGACGGTGTGCTTACTATAAACCTCTTACAGTCTGCATAGTGTAAGGGTGTGGAAGCCTACTAGTGCTATGTATGTGTATTATTGGGGAATGCAGGAAGGTTTCTATGACATCCAAACATAATGCTGTGTGTTACTGTGACAAACTGCAGGGGTGAATGCTGGCTAAGGCTGTGGATAATATGGGATATCAGAGACATAGAATGTAGTAATATGGTCATTGTAGTCTATATCTGCTCATTATTATTAGGTACTAGCTGTGTTCTCCTCACTCATGGAGTGCTGGTTTGCTCACACCACAGAGTTAAACTGATTTATTTTTCTATACAGAAATCTGGCTACACATGCAGTATTTAGTGTGTCTGCAGAAAATGTGTGTGTATTATAAAAATATGAGACCAAGCTCAAACTAATCTACTACTTGTGAAAAGGGAGATATTGTTTATATATATATATATATATATACATATATATATATATATATATATATATATAATATTTATTTATTAACAATATCTCCCTTTTCATAAGAAGATTAGGTTGAGCTTAGTCTTCTATTTCTAGACTGCACACATATATATTATTTTTTCCTATTTAATAAGTAGGTTAATTTGAGCTTAGTCTCATTCATCTATCTGCACACACGTTTTTTTGTAGACACCATAAATACTGCATGTGTAGCTAGATATCTGTATACAAACAGGAAAAACAAAGATTTAAAAAAAAACACCTAAGCTCAAAAAAACCTATTTTATTAAAAGTGGGAATATTTTTTTTTTGTGTGTGTGTGTGTGTGTATATACACATACATATAATAATTCCCTTTTAATAAGTAGGTTAGTTTGAGCTTAGTTTTATTTCAGATGTTACCCGAAAAACCTAATACAATGATATATATTTATTTATATTTATTGGCAGTCATGTAGTTTATAATTCTTAAGAGTGTTGTTGCCAATGGAGTATGACTTTGATGTTAATCTGGAGGCCAAGCCATTATCCACTCTAACGGTTCTTGTCTAACATTACTCTGGTCACTTAGTGCCAATACCGGTTTTCTGAACATGCACCCAAACAGAGTTTTTGTCAGTGTCCTATAATACTTTGCATCTTTTGTGGCTGTGCATTAGTAGCAATGTTTAATAGATATGGTATGGTGCCCACAGGCTGCATAGAATTAAAATGTAACAAGGTCATACCACACCCTTAGCCATCACAACAAACAGTTCAACATGTTGGTGAGCTGTGTGCCCTGTTTTTGCTAAGTATATTTTGAGGGGCGTGGTAGAAACTTAATTTGGTGTGTTTTGTCAGTTTAATATTGAATCTGCAGCTCACTGTTGGTTTAGCTTAAATTCTTTTGTGAAATTCTACACAGGCATTTTAGTGCCTGTATAGAATTTCACAAAATAAGACAATTGCTTCAGTTGTTTAAAAGATTCACTCAAAGATTATCAAGTACTCAAAGTTTATCTAAACATTCGAGGTGTGGTAGTATTGTATACAACAGTACAAACAAGCCTTTATTTGTATTTTTTTTATTTATTTCTCTTATAATAGTCCACTCACTGTACACTTGGAGCTGATGGACACAGCAATTTTTTAATAGGCAAGGTTTGGTGGGCTATACCACTGCACTAGACCCGTAACCGTAGTTTAAGATATACTTATAAATAAGGGTAGAGTTTAAAAAAAAAATATATCATAGGCATTTATAATCAAAGTGCACTAGGACAGGTTAAACTATTTCTAGGACTCCGTTTTATATTAATCTTCTCCTTTATATGCCACTCATCATCATGCATTGTTCTAGTTGTTGTATGAGAACTTATATGAGGCTCAGCCAGTCCAATTTATCCTTCTTTTCTTAAGGATTTCTGAGTGTCATGGGTTATACAGTTCCTCATCAGTTGGAGAGCTGCTTATATGCTAGCTCGATGACTGACTCTCATTCATTATCAGTGACTGTAGGGCAGAATCTCAGCAGGAAGCCATAATGTTTCACCCTTATGGACTTTTGTCAAGCAAAACGAAATTCCAAACCTGCTTGTAAGACTACAGTTGTTGAGGACATTCTTTTATTTTCTTGGTAAATGTAATTCATGTATTTTTAAGGGTGCTACTCGGTGCTAAACTAATGGGGTGTACTGTGAGACCAGGTATTGATTAAAAAGAACAAAACTAATAAAAGCCTACATGTAGATGGTGTGTGTGGGTATAGAATCGTTTAGAGTCAACATTTTTTTCCAGTGATTAAGCCTTTAAAGTAACACGCAAAACTCAGAGTATGTGAACTCCAAGCACCAGTAGTGTTTTAAAGTGGTCATGTTGAAATCTGTGTTCAAGTGTTTCAATATGAAGATGTGCACGAATAGAGATAATTAAAGGTACACTATAGACCACAGAACCAGTACAGATTAATGTAATGGTTCTTTGACATATATAACCTGTCCCTACAGGCTATAACACTGTAAATAGTGCGTTGCTGCTTATGATCACCTTAATGGTATTGGTCCTCTGAATATTGCAGGGCTAACATTTAGTGTATCCATGCTCTGCTGTATGCTCCCCATTAGAGATGCATTAATTCATCACATCTCTGAGGGAAAGCATTTGATTGGCTGAGCTCAGGGATGCAGGGTGGGGGCAAGTGATATCCGATTAATAAATCTCGGTTTTTAAATGCTTACAGGTGGGCATTAATATAATTATGAGTAGAACACTATAGCTTGAAGAATACATGTTTGTATGCTTAATGCCGTAGTGATCCTCTAAAGTGACATTGTAGGTACTTTAAAAACTTCATCTTATTAACCCCTTAAGGACCAAACTTCTGGAATAAAAGGGAATCATGACATGTCACACATGTCATGTGTCCTTAAGGGGTTAAAGATGTTATAGTACCTTCAGTGCTGGCCACCCTGTGGCTCTCTATGGAGGAATTGTAAGGACATTGCGGAGAGCGTTGCTCTTGCGCCTACGTTTCCCAATAATCCTCTATGAGGAGCATTAAATTAGTTATCCTGTAGACACACAGGGTGACCTAACACATAACCTGAGGAGGAGATTGTGGAGCTGCAGAAAAGGTAAGTAATTTGTTTTAAAAGTTGGGGGGACCTACTTGATAAGTTGTAGAGTCTGGCATTTTACAACCGGTTAAGTCGTCCTGAGATCACTCTCAAGCATATAATATGTTTAATAGGGACAGACTTTGAATTTATTTATTTTATATGCCATCACAAGTTAAATACAAAATAGTACTTTTGTAGGATGAATACATTATGACCATATGTAAATAAATTGCATATAAAACCAAATATCAGCTGAATACCAAGCATGTTTCCTGTAAAGTCCAGTTTGTGAAACGATAGAGGTTGAAGTATATAGTACATCACTATTGGAGGGTATGGGAAGCCCTTTCTACATTTCCCACCGGCGTGTTTGTTTTTTTTGTAAATCACTTGCCTTAGTGCTAAACATTTAAAGTACCTAACTAAAGAAAATGGAATTTACCACTCATTTAGAGGTCATAGGTCTGTATACAACTGCTAGTGTTTAAATGTTAAGTCTAGACAACATAGGTCCGCTGAAGGAGACTGCCAATAAATAGATTTAAAATATGTATCAAATTAATATTGCTAATGCAGTAGAGGGGCCAGACCACTAGTGCTTTGTGGCGTTTATGCAGATTAATCACCAAAGAACATTGTAGTTTGACCAAAATTCAAGTGCCCCATAGAAAGTAATATGTTCTTTGTTGATTAATCTGCATAAACGCCACAAAGCACTAGTGGTCTGGCCCCTCTACTGCATTAGCAATATTTATTTGATACATATTTTAAATCTATTTATTGGCAGTCTCCTTCAGCACCATGGAATTGCATCTACAGCCAAATCGCACTATAATTTCCTCATGTTGATGTTGTGGTTGTGGTACCTAGACTGGCACTTCTATAAGAACGGTCCTTTGGAAACCATATGTTAATGATGGCACTAACTATGATGGGTCTTAAATAGATTAAAACGTAGATTTTTCAATTCTGCATTTATTTGTGCTTTTATTGCTTCATTGTCAGGTTTCAGTAACTTTTAGTAATAAATGACAGACTTGCGTGGGAAACATAGCATGGAATTTGACAATCTGTGCCTGTTTACTTGTTGCAAAGCTTGCTTTTCCCTGGAAAATATTAGATGGAAGATTTAGCCAGCTCAGAGAATATGCAAAGGCAGCAGCTCTAGAAGAGTTCCAGAATCCTTTGCTTTTGGCCGCATGACAACCACACTAACCAAACCACCCTGCATCAGCAGTTTGTCTTGGTGACAGAGGGTCACAGTGATGTGTGATACTGTATTTAATTTTTTATCACCCCAGTTATTTTTGTTACCTGTATATAGGTATTCCATTGGAGGTGAAACATTTTTGTTAATTAATTTACGCAATTGAGGTAAATTCCCTGTAAGCACACAAACTATAGGAATTAACGTGTAAAACTGACTGTCTTGTGCTGGTATTTTACGTGCAGGCATGTTTAATTCACATTCAGCTCCATTCATTCTGTACATTTATAACTGAAATATATTTAAAGGGACACTATAGTCACCAGAACATATTGTATTTGTTCTGGTGAGTAGAATCATTCCCTGCAGACTTTTTTGTAGTAAACACTGTCTTTTCAGAGAATATGCAGTGTTTACATTTACAGCCTAGTTATAATTCCACTGGCAACTCCTCAGATGGCTACTAGATGTGCTTCCTGGGGCAAACTGTACTAAACGCTGTTTGCAACTTACCTGGATCCCAGTGGGCACATACACTGTTACCTGGATTCTCCTGCAGAATATGCCAACAGCTGTACTTGACTAAGCAGGGCCATGCTCATTGGCCGAGAGCATCATCATTCAGCACAGAACTCTCAAGCAATGAACATTGGCCTGTATTGACTGAGCTTAGATGAATTAAAACATCCAGCTTCTCCTGCATTAGAAGACTGGAAGTGACATGAGTGACCCAGGAAAGTTATTAAACCATACTAAAGCAATTTGACTACTATGGGTGCTGCAATCCTGATGCCATACGTATCACAGCTGCAGTAGTGGTTATAGTACTTAAAGTGTTAATTTATCAATATGCATCGATACAGTTAATCTAGCTACTATGCTCAGTGTCTGTCATGTGTGGTCTGAAAGATGCATGAAATTGTAATGAGAGAGTTTGTTATAATGTTTAGAGACGAAGAAGAAAGCGCAGAAACAGTATGGAGTACAGGGAGAAATGGGTTGATGGGTGACTGAATGGAGAGGATGAGTAGAGCATTCCTTGGCTATTTGCATTTTAAACTCTAGGTAAGTGGTTGTAATGCTTACTGTGCAGACTGTTAGAAATTGTTTAATGGAATTCCAGGCTCTCTATTCTCTCAACTGCTCTCACCCCCAGCATTATATCTACTCCTCTTTTTTAGCCTTTACTTTTATCTCTGGAATGTTCCATTTAGCCCCAAGCCTGCGGTCACAGACCCAGCAACCAATAAAACAAGTGTCCTGTGACTCACTCATACCTTCTATCTTCCAAGAATTCATTAGGGGAAAAAAGATAGGCCTGTTTTTAAAAATTTTGTTCTAAATGTTTGGCGAGTTTGGTAGCATGAGCAGACATTGGGTGTTGGGTTGGTGATTATTAAAAATCTATACTCTAATGGGGCGTATACTTCTGGTCTACTACTCCACATTCTTTAATGGACCGTATTCTTCTTGTTTATGTTATTGTGGGTTAATTTTATTTATTTTTTTAAATTGGAAAAGTTTAGGAAATTGATACAAGGAGACATACTTGGCATGTAACGGAGCTCAAAAGCTAGAAACCATACATTGTATTTCAACATTTTATAAAAATAAATAAAAGAAAGTAACAATATACTATTGAAGGACAATGTTGCATTTCAATGACCTAAAAATAGTCTCGCCAACCAGCTCATATGAAAACTGGATGTTAAAGCCAGAGACCTAGGTCACACTTCGACCTGCTGCAGCTGATATCCACCCAAAGCCACCAGACTTTTCCAAAATGATGGTATTTTGTAATCTTGCTGTTGGAGTATAAAGTCAGGCTCTCTGCAACATCTCTAACGGAGACCAGAAACAGAGGAAAATGCATGGTCTAGATGTTTGGGAACTGAACACCATCTCATTAAGAGTTGTCAAGTCTGTGTGTGTGTGTGTGTGTGTGTGTATATGTATGTATGTATGTATATATATATATACACACACACACGAAAACAAAATAACAGAAAAGGTCATGATTAGAAGTTGTAGAAAAGACTTTGCATTTCCTTTTTCATATAGAGACTTAAATGATCATTTGCTCTACTAGTAAGTCTGTTTTAAAAGCACAAACATATTTTACTTTGTTTTGAGAGAGAGAGGTTTAAATGGAATCCCAAGCATTCTTGAATTTTTTTTGCTTTGTCCACATGTCCTTAGGCTATTCCAGTTACTACTCTTTCAATAAGGTAGTATTTCAGCACATTAAAGGGGCTGTCAAACTACCATAACTAGTATGCTACAGGCGCCACCTCGTAGTTCTGCATCAAACCGTTTTAGGGACCCAGAGACTCTCCTGGCCCAGTATATGCTTCCAGATTAAAACAGAAGTTTGACTTGTGCATTGATTATCCTCTTTGCCAATATTTGAACAATGTTAGTTTTCTGTGCCAACAAAAAACTGGCCAACCCTGATCTAAGCCTACTGGTACCATAATGGAAGCATGGCTTTGTGAGGGCACGCTCTCTAGATCACTCACCAGTTTCTCAATTTTAGTCAATAAGATCACTTAAAAGCAAAATTAAGTTGCATATGTTTATACATTCAAAAGGTTGTAGACCCAGGCTGATGTGTCAATTCCAGGGATGGATTTACGTCTGTTTCAGTCAATTTGGAAGTGAATGAGATTTCTGTCACCTGTGAAAGTCAGTTGCTTGGCACAGATTTTCATGTATGTCCCAGAAGTATTAATGCTAATTCATATATTCAGTTTAATAGGTACACCTTGTTCTCTATAATTATAAGAACATGTACCTCTCGGAGTGAGATCAGATAATTTTATTGATCATGTCTTCAATGTAGCCTTTTTGAAGGAGACAGGAATGCTGCAAGTAAGAATATTTTGTCCTTTTACAGTACATTTTGCCAGTATAGTGTATAAATAATGTTTATATACCTACTGGAAGTTGACTTGTTCCTTATTGAACTTTTCATTGTTGTACTATCTTGTTGTAAAAGTGCACTATCCAAGACATGGTAGCATGTTACTGTTGAAAACTGTATTTTATTTATATCAATATTAATCATGTAAACCCTCCTGTCCCTTTTTCTTTCAGATTTGACTTCAATCTCTCGCTTGGAAAACCCTATAATCTTGAAAAGTTTCCATTGCTATTTAACGGCCTCAAGGCATACAAGTCTCCTTTTTTGTGGAACGATTTTCTTCTCCCAAGTAAAAATTGATCAAAAGAGTTGATCCAGGATTTCAAAGACGTCTGATACATTTTGCAATTTCTCATATCTTCTGTGTGACTCTTGATCCAAAGACTTGCCGTTCTGTCACACCACTGGCTTTTGTTATTTTAGTACAGACATCTGTTGCTTTCATAGAGGAAACTGTTGATTGTTGTCCTACAGCTGGACTCCGCAACATGTAAGCTAGAGTGAGACTTTCAGGATCTGCGTCAGCTGTGAAGAAGCTTATAAAAATGTCAACCAAAGCCCCAATCTACCTAAAGAGGGGCAGTCGTAAAGGAAAGTTAAGGGACCTGTTGTCTCCAGACATGATCAGTCCTCCACTTGGAGATTTTAGACATACCATTCATATAGGTAGTGGTGAAGGAGATGTGTTTGGGGATGTTTCTTTCTTACAAGGCAAATTTCACCTCCTTCCTAGATCACACCCTGGATCCTCAGCCTCTTCTCCGTGCTCAACTCCACCTCCCTCTCACCCAGACCTTCCATCTCCTCTGCTAAAGAATGCCATCTCACTCCCTGTTATAGGTGGACCTCAGGCTTTGTCATTGCCACAGGCTCCCCCTCCAAAACCACCACGACTTCACCTAGATGAAAGAAGTAAGAGTCCAGTGAAGGAGGTGGAAGGAGGAGCCCTTCGACCTTTACTGAGCCCCTCAGATAATGGAATTTCAGCGCAAGAGAGGGAAGAACGTATCCTTGCCCATGCTGGATCTCTTCTGTCCCTGCATGTGGATCTTGGACCCTCCATTCTAGATGATGTTCTGGAGATCATGGATAAGGTCTAGACCTTGGTCAATTGGATGACTGGGAGACTAACTTTGCTTATTCACCAAAAATTGGTTTTTAACACTACAATTATTATCCGGAACAATATCCTTGACTGTGGAGTAAACCATGCTGCCTTATATAACAAAAACTATTGCTTTTAAAGCAATCTTATGTGGGGCCAAGCATTTATATTGTGACTGAAAACACACATTTTTTTAAAGCTTCATATATTTCCACATGGGTTTACTGGAATTGGAAAGGTTCCTTCATTTTTTTTTTTTCAGCTCCCCCATTGATCTTTAAGTTTACAGGACACAAACTGTTCATTTCATGGATCATCTGAATTTGATCTCCATTGTAAATGGTGAGATTAGAATTCTTTACTAGTGCCTTTGCCAGGATTATCACATGAAACTTTATTTTAATTTTCTTATGACCAAAATTTGTAAATTGTAAATGATCAAATATAGGGAGAAAACATATTTTCAAATTGTGTCCACTGTCTGTGTTTTTATTGAGACTGTGTCTTTGATGTCTGTGTGTTTTCTAATGATATATAGTAATTAATTATACAAACTGTGTAATAGAAGAACATTCAATTATTTTCTGGTGCATACTACTTATATTGAATGTTTACCATATTATGCTGCAGTAGTTGAAGGGTCTAACTCTTAGACCTTCAAAGGTAGCACATATTTTTCAAATCTCTAGGATTGCTAAAACTACCATAATGATGGAAAAAGTCTGATTAGCTGAAAGAGCAATGTTGGATTCCATATGTTTATGAGCTATAAAAAGAGTATTGATTCACTCTTGTGGTTCCAATAGCTCAGTTCTACATTTCTGGCCCCCCGTTAAAAAGGTGTTTTACTCTGCTCTTTTTTCCAGAGCCGCTTTGATCTTGCCACCGCTGGCTTTGCTCCTCCTTGGCCGAGATCATCAAACTTGATGATCTCAGCCAATCCAATGCATTCCTATAGGAAAGCATTGATGGCTATTGCGCATATACAGCAAAGCAGTGCGCCAATCAGCATCTCCTCATAGAGATGCATTGAATCAGTGCATCTCTATGAGGAATGTTCAGTGCCTCCATGCAGAGCGCGGAGAGTCTTAACGTCAGTGCGGCACATTGTGGCCGTTTGCGTGACTGCTGCTAGAGTAGTTGTTACACAGAAATGTGAAAAGACAAAGTTTACGTTTAAAAGCGTGCAGGGACAGGTAGTAGACAAGAACAACTACATTAAACTATAGTTATGACGATAGTGTCCCTTTAACCCCATAGTGACCAGACAGTTTTTTTTTTCAATTTTCTTACAGTTAAGGACCAGGGCTCTTGTTACATTTCTGCGGTGTTTGTGTTAAGCCGCAATTTTTCTCTTACTCATTTACTGTATCCACACATAATATATACCGTTTTTCTCGCCTTTAAGTCACTTTGCTATTTCCAACCCCTTTTCTTTTCTTTTTTTTTTCTTTTTTTATTAATGCAAGTTACATTGTAACACTGATATCCGTCAGGAATCCCTGAATAACCGTTCATATGTGTGTGTGTGTGTGTATATATATATATATATATATATATAATTTATTTTATTTATTTTTTTTTTTTAAAGAAGATAACCTAAGGTATTAAACTTCGGGCATTTTGACTCTTTTCATGCAACCATTTTACCACCAATCTATGCCAAATAAATTTATTTTATTTTTTATATATTTTATTTTTATTTATTTATTTATTTATTTTTTTGACACACATAGCATTTTAAGAATACATGTATGGAGAACTTTAAAGGACCACTATAGTGCCAGGAAAACAAACTTGTTTTCCTGGCACTATAGGGTCATTATGTCCCCCCCACCGTCAGGGGCCCCCTCGGCGCTGGGCTGAAGGGATTAAAACCCCTTCAGCCACTTAGCTTTCTCCAGCGCCGGTGACCTCTCCTCCCCCTGCTGACATCTGATTTGAATGCGCGGCAAGAGCCGCGCGCGCATTCAATCCGCCCATAGTAAAACATTACTCAGTGCTTCCCTATGTGTGTCCAGTGTCTTCTCACTGTGATTTTTACAGTGAGAATCGCGGAAGTGGCCTCTAGTGGCTGTCAGGGAGCCAGCCACTAGTGGCTGGATTAACCCTCAGTGAAACATAGCAGTTTCTCTGAAACTGCTGTGTTTAGAGCTGCAGGGTTAAAACTAGAGGGACCTGGTACCCAGACCACTTCATTGAGCTGAGGTGGTCTAGGTGCCTATAGTGGTCCTTTAAGGGTTACTGCCAAAGAACACCCCAATATGTATTTTTCAAACTTTTGGGTAGTAATTTATTTTTCTCTCACATTGTACTTTAGGCATGGATTCTCAGTTCCTGTTATGTGTTACTGACAAAGAACACCCCAATATGTGTTCAGCAACAACTGGCCCCCAATGTACAGGTTTTATGTGTTTTTGCAAAAATACAGGGGTCGAATGTAGGGCTTTCCCCTTTTCTATGTTTACACATTAAAATTTACCAGATTGGTTTGCTGGGCCTATGTTGAGTTTGAGACCATATAGCAGCCCGGGAATGAAAATTAACGCCATCATGGCATACCATTTGTAAAAGTAGACAACCCATGGTATTCCAAATTGTGTATTTCCAGTCTTTTGTACTAGCCACTTAGCCACAAACACTGGCCAAACTTAGCTTTTTTTTTTTTTTAAACACAAACTGCACTGTTATTGGTGATTTCATCGTCGTGATAAGTTTTTATGGTGTTTTGGAAAGTTACAGGGTCAATATAGGGCTTGCCAGATTGGTTTGCTGTGTCTGTGTTGCCTTTTGAGACCACATGGTAGCCCAGGAATGTGAAATAACGCCATCTTGGCATACCATTTTCAAATGTAGATAACCCAGGGTACTTCAAATGGGGTATTTCCAGTCTTTTGTAGTAGCCACTTAGTCACAAACGCTGGCAAAAGTTAGTGGTTTTTTTTTGTTTTTGTTTTTATATAAAAAAAAAAATTAAATTTAAGGCCGTTTGGCCTGTATTTGTGGGAGGGGCTTAAATTGAATCGCCCCCTCTATATAAGGTACACCCCTTACCTGACTCCACACCGATCAAGGTCTGCGTCTGAATGACCCTCCCACCCACTCCTCATTCTCAACACTTTCTTTTTCCTTCTATTTTCTTTACTTTTATTACTCCTTGGTGGGCCCTCTTTATTTACAGGCCTACCGTATCGTCGGTATCGGCACACCACAACCGACTTTGCTCATTTATACTATACTATGTTCTTGCTTGAACCCTACTCCAAAAACGGCTATTTGCCCCTTACACAAATATATATATACACACATACACACGCACTTATTTCCTATATGTATATTATAATTAAAGCATTTTATTATGCATATATATGATTTCATTATAAGTGTATTTTGATATATGTATATATCTCAAAGTACACTTATGAAATTCTATATATATATATATATATATATATATATATATATTTGTGGTCAGGGCATAAGCCGTAGTATAACTTATATAAATAGGACAAACCATGAAAGGAAATGTCAGTTGTGGTGTGCCGGAACTGACGAGGAAGTAGGCCTGAAATAAAAGAGGGCCTACCTTATAAAAATGCTTATGAAAGCGGTGTGGTGGGTGGGAGAATCCGTCGCACCTAACAGGTAGTGAGGGAAGGGTCTGGAGTCCCTTAAGAAGGGTAACCCAGCCCTTCCCATAACTTCAGGCCACGCCTTCCATTTGTGGTCAGGGCATAAGCCGTAGTATAACTTATATAAATAGGACAAACCATGAAAGGAAATGTCAGTTGTGGTGTGCCGGAACTGACAAGAGGAAGTAGGCCTGAAATAAAAGAGGGCAAAAGAGATAACCATTTATTCGTCCTACAACCGGACATAACAGATTACAAATTCATAGTTTTGAAAGCCAGACGTACTTCTTGTATGGGCTGAGGTATGTATCTAGTGTATGCCGTAGATTTCCATTGTCCTAGTATCTGAATAATGTGAGCAGGGATATTCTTTTAGAAGCGGTGGTGGCGGCTCCTATTCTAAAAGAGTGACCAGAGTAGCTGGCTGGGTTCAGTCCTAACCGGGCTAACAATATCCTAATATACATCATGAATTGGCTCGTAGTGAGCTTATTGCCGTGCAAGGACAGGAGTGGTTGTGTGGGCCCATATTGTCAAAGGCAAGAAGTGTGTCGAAAACCTTCACCGGGCACCAAGTATTACTTGTGGGGTAATAGGGTATAGTGACCGTTTGCCCGGGGGCGCTTGTTTTGGTATGGTGCAGTAACAGAAGATAGTGATCTTGGACCTTTATGAGATCGGACCTTGTGAGGAAAAGGGGTGAGTTATAGCTAGTAGTAGTGAATTCTCTGGGCCGTAAAAACCCGTAAAATGCTAGATAGATGGCGGCTTTAATTACATGATTAGTATGAGCTTCAAAGGGTGAGGTGTCTAGTAGTTTTGACAGTGACTGAAACAATAAATCGTGTATGGGTAGTCTAGTTGGTGAGGCTATAGGGGCGGAGTCTTTGATGCCTTTAAGTATAGCCTTAACTTGGTAGGACGACAGAAAGCGTTGTTTGTTAGGCCAAGTGGTGAGGATGTGATGTTGAATGCCTGTGATATATAATTTGATGGTATTGTAAGATAATGTTAGACGAAAGTGGCAAAAAGAAATAAAAGCAATAATGGTTTCCATAGAAAACTGGTCAGTGACATTAAAGTCCAACAAGAATTTATTGAAAACATGGAAAGCCCTTTCATATGCCTTCCTGGTATTATCGGAGAGACCGAGCTGTGAGAGTTGTCGCCCTTGACATAGCAGAACTTTTAGTCCCAGATCATTTCCTGCCACTTTGGAACTGGAGTTGGTATGAGGGCCGCTGTTGGCAGGGCCTCCCGAAACTCCTGAAACCGAGACCGTGACAAATGATCAGCTGCAATGTTGAGAACCCCAGGCACATGAACACAAGTGAGAAGAAAACTGTGTTTTGCAGCGAGCCATGTGAGAGTCCTCATGAAACGCATGATGGTGAGGGAAGAGGAACGCCCCTTGTTTACAATATGGCATGTTGCCATATTGTCCGAGAAGCAACGAACCGTATTCCCGGACCAACTTGCTCCCCACTTAACTGCTGCCGCTAAGATAGGATAGAGCTCAAACAAGGCTGATGTGTCCTTAAACCGGGGAATTTCTGTAATTTCCCTAGGCCATTCTCCCCACATCCATTCATTTCCCCATATTGCTGCAAAACCTGAGGTGGCTGCGGCATCCGTCCAGACTGACTCCGATTTCTCTGACCAAACCGGTATAAACATAGTAGTGATGGTAGGCTGCACTCACAGATTCTTTAAAACGTAACTTTTATTTATAATGTTAAGAGAAGAGCAGATCTGCTCTTAACATTATAAATAAAAGTTATGTTTTAAAGAATCCATAAGTGCAGCCTACCATCACTACTCTTTGGATACTGGAGCCTTGGTGATGCACCCGGTCAGATAACTGAAGACTGAGTGCAAGGTATATTTGGTTTTTTATATATATATTAAATATGTATAATATATTATACATATGGCTGGCAGCTCCTAGACTCCTCTTGCGGCAATGTGATCATGGTGATCACATGGCCCTGGAGGGCCGCTAAATTCGGGATAGCCAAGCAGGGGACTTAAATACCCCCTCGGATGAAGCCCCCAGTGGAGCTTCGAAACGCTCAATTTCATTCCGCACAAATGGAGAAGTTATCTCTGGAAAACCTTGAGTGCCGGTATTTACCTCTTTGTTTATGATTAAGCTACCAGGAGCACCACAGGTACTATTTTTTCTAGTTGGAGTACAGGGGTATTTTTGTATTTTTTATATATCTAAGTGTATTTTTGATATAAATATATATTAACCCTTATCTATCGGGTTGACGACCTCGGCCCGGTCATTTAGTAAAATTAACCCCGGATCACCGCTATCGCGGCGATCGCGGGGTTAATGGTGCTCCCGGTATGCCTCTGCATTAGAGGCATACCGGGAGCACCCGGTCAGGCTGCCCAGCACATGTGCTCGCTCTGACCGCAAGTCAGAGCGAGCACATGTGCTCTGTATACTTACCTTCCGGCTCCCTGCACTTCCTGGTTCTGTGTGAAGTGCAGGGAGCCGGAACAGTGCTGATCCTGCCCCCTGCTGTTAAAAAAAATAAAGTTAATTTAAAGTGTCCCCCCCTTACCCATTTTAATAAAAAAATTAACCCCTTCCCTGCCAATTGATCACTGACTACAGTGATCAATTGGCAGGGATTACATTTTACTATGATCTGATTTTTTTTTTTTTAATCCCTGAGGGTTAATTCTTTTTTTTTTAACCCTCAGGGGTTAAATTAATTAAATTAATTAATTAAATTATTTTAAAATTATATATTTAGATAGCTGGGGTAGGTGGAAGTTAGTGGGGAATTGGGGGATTTGACGTTAGGCTAACTAGGGGTTAACGTTAAAAAAAAGTTTTAAAAGAAACTTTAAAAAGTTAAAAATTAAGCTTAAAAAAAGTTTTAATAACATTTAAGTAAAAAAAACAAAAAAAAACACACTTTACCTAGTCCAAATAAAAATTAACCCCTTCCCTGCCAGTCGATCACTGCCTACAGCGATCAAATAGAGATCACAGTATTATACTGTGATCTAATTTTTTTTAACTCCTGAGGATTAACTTTTATTTATTTTTTTAACCCTCAGGGGTTCAATTTATTTAATTAATTAATTTAAATATTTTATAACTATATATTTTGCTAGCTGGGGTGGGTGGGAGTTATGGGAAAATGGGGAATTTACTGTTACTGCTGCGTACTGCTAGTTAGGGGTTAACGGTAAAAAAAAAAGCTTAGAAAAATGTTAAATCTGTAAAGTTTTAAGAAAGTTTAGGAAAGTTTAAAAAAATTTATAAGCAAAACAAAAGTTTAAAAACTAGTTTTTAAAAGTAAAAAAATTATAAAAAGTAAAAAAATACATTTTAAAAACGCTCATTACCACTACACCTGGAGCAAACTAGAGAAAAAATTATCCCACGCCAAGGTTCAAAATATGCCTTTGAATTACCCCAGAGTGTATTCTTTAATAAATAGTATGTGTTTGTGGGGAAGTTTCAATAACCAACCGTCTAAACTACTCCAAATTGGAACATGGACACAGCGTAAAACTTCAAAGTTAGAAAAAAACTGAATGGCTGCGTCTCAAATGCGCCCCTTCAACATCCATATATACCTGTCAAAGGTACATACGGTGGTATTGCTGTACTCAGACGACATAGCTGAGCAACATATGAGCACACATAAGGTTTTGCAAAATATACTGTGCAAACTCACTTTGTATGTCAAAAAGGCAGAAAAAACGCTTATTACCACTACATCTGGTACAAGCTAGCGGAAAAATGATCCCACGCTAAGGTTCAAACTATACCTTTTGAAACACCCTGGGGTGTCTACTTTAAGAAATGGTAGGCCTTTGTGGGGTAGTTTGAATTTAAAACCTGTGAAGATGCTTGGAAATTGCACATAGGCCCAGCGTCAAAATTCAAAGTTTGGTAAAAACTGATATGGCTTGGTCTCCTATATGGCACTGTAGCTTCACGAAGTAGTGCCAACGACATTCATATGGGGTGTCATTTTACTCAGAAGACTTAGCTGAGCATAATTTGGGGGTTTTGAACTTAGTGGCACATATGAAATATACAAAACGCCCAGCAAAAATGCAATCCGTATGTAAAAAATGCACAAAATTATTTTTTACCACATACTTTGGCATATATTGGTGAAAAAATGGGGGTATGTTAAGGCACAATATGCACCTTATGAGATACCCTGGAGTGTCTACTTTTACAAATGGTAGGCCTTTGTGGGGGGTTTTTGAACAGTCAAACTGTTATAATACCCCAAATGGAAGCTAAGGCTCATTAAATCCATCTCTCAAAATTCTACTGTGAATACTGAAAAGGACAGGTATCCTGTATGGCACTGTAACTTCACGAAATAGTGCCAAAGACATACAATGGGGGTGTCATTTTACTCAGCAGATGTAACTGAACACAAAATAAAACTTTGTACAGGAATAGCACACACCAACTTTACAAAATATACACGAGAATTTCTTTGTTATAAGTTTGTGTGCCAAAAACCAAAAAAAACACAATTTTTTTACTCCAATATTTAGCAGAGGTTGGCGGTGAAATGGCTACGTAGAAAGTGTCAAAACAACCTTAGGTAAATAGCCCGTGATGTCTACTTTATATAAATATATACTTTTGTGTGGCAATTTTGTTTTCTTTTATGGCTATTAAGCTTACAAGACAAACATACCAAATTCTAAAATCGCTCCACATTAAAAGTTTATTTTACTCCTTGTGCTTTGTGACCTGTAACTACCAAAAAAAAAACTTAAAATCCCAGACACATTATATATTCTGTAAATCAGAACAACTAAATTAATTTATTGTTAATTACTTTTCTTAACCTGCACTAATTATGCACACATTATTATTGCAAAAACTGTAAAAAAAAAAAAAACACAAAATTTTCATTTTTTTTACATTTTTCTGTATTTTTTTATAATAAATAAGCATTTATATATATGTGTGTTACATCAAATTAAAGCCCTTTCTGTCCTTTAAAAAACGATGTATATGTGTTGGTGCAACAAATTAGTAAAATGCAAATTGCAGTTGAACGCAAACAGCAAAAAATGAAAAAAAATGCCGTTGTCATTAAGTGAAAGACAAGCTTTTGAAGCTTTGTCCTTAAGGGGTTAATAACAAAATACAGGTAGAATAAAATTACATATTTTTTTGTTTTTTATTTAAAAAAAATATATATATATAGTTATTATATATCTTGTGTGTGTGTGTGTGTGTGTGTATATATATATATATATATATATATATATATTTATTTGTATATATGTGTATATATATGTGTATATGTATATATATATATATTTGTATATGTATATATATAGAAACATAGAATGTGACGGCAGATAAGAACCATTTGGCCCATCTAGTCTGCCCAGTTTTCTAAATATTTTCATTAGTCCCTGGCCTTATCTTATAGTTAGACTAGCCTTATGCCTATCCCATGCATGCTTAAACTCCTTTACTGTGTTAACCTCTACCACTTCAGCTGGAAGGCTATTCAATGCATCCACTACCCTCTCAGTAAAGTAATACTTCCTGATATTTTTAAACCTTTGTCCCTCTAATTTAAGACTGCCCTCTTGTTGTGGTAGTTTTTCTTCTTTTAAATATAGTCTACTCCTCTACTGTGTTGATTCCCTTTATGTATTTAAATGTTTCTATCATATCACCCCCGTCTCGTCTTTCCTCCAAGCTATACATGTTAAGATCCTTTAACCTTTCCTGGTAAGTTTTATCCTGCAATCCATGAACCAGTTTAGTAGCCCTTCTCTGAACTCTCTCTAAGGTATCCATATCCTTCTGAAGATACGGTCTCCAGTACTGCGTACAATACTCCAAGTGATGTCTCACCAGTGTTCTGTTCAATGGCATGAGCACTTCCCTCTTTCTACTGCTAATACCTCTCCCTATACAACCAAGCATTCTGCTAACATTTCCTGCTGCTCTATTACATTGTCTGCCTTTAAGTCATCAGAAATAATCACCCCTAAATCCCTTTCCTCAGATGTTGCGGTTAGGACTCTAAGTACAGATCCCTGAGGTACCCCACTGGTGACAAGCCCAAGCTTCGAATATACTCCATTGACTACACCCCTCTGTTGCCTGTCACTCAGCCACTGCCTTACCCATTCAACAATATTGGAATCCAAACTTAAAGATTGCAGTTTATTGATAAGCCTTCTATGTGCAACAGTGTCAAAAGCCTTACTGAAATCTAGGTAAGCAATGTCTACTGCACCACCCTGATCTATAATTTTAGTTACCCAATCAAAAAAATCAATAAGATTAGTTTGGCATGATCTCCCTGAAGTAAACCCATGTTGTCTCTGATCTTGAAATCCATGTGTTTTAGATGTTCAACAATCCTATCCTTTAACATGGTTTCCATCACTTTCCCCACTACTGAAGTAAGGCTTACTGGCCTATAGTTGCCTGACTCCTCCCTATTACCTTTCTTGTGAATGGGCACAACATTCGCTAACTTCATCTTCTGGGACTACTCCTGTTAACAATGATTGGTTAAATAAATCTGTTAATGGTTTTGCTAGTACACCACTAAGCTCTTTTAACAGCTTTGGGTGTATTCCATCAGGTCCCATTGACTTATTTATTTTGTTGTCAATTTTTGTTTTTATTGAGGTGTATGATGGCTCAGTACAGAAAGTAAAACAAGGGGTTAATGCATGAAAAACATACGTTATGCATAACTGGTTTATACATGGTTGCATGTACTCCCAAGAATAACGGCCTAGTTTTTATGAAAATTTTAACAGTAGTATTATACAGGCTAAACAAGCTAAGCAGGCTAGACAATAAAGGTTTACTTAAAGGACCACTATAGTGCCAGGAAAACATACTCGTTTTCCTGGCACTATAGTGCCCTGAGGGTGCCCCCACCCTCAGGGACCCCCTACCGCCCGGCTCTGGAAAGGGGTTAAAACTTACCTTTTTCCAGCACTGGGCAGAGAGCTCTCCTCCTCCGATCCTCCTCTTCTCCTCCCCGTCGGCTGAATGCGCACGCGCGGCAAGAGCTGCGCGCGCATTCAGCCGGCCACATAGGAAAGCATTCATAATGCTTTCCTATGGACGCTTGCGTGCTCTCACTGTGAAAATCACAGTGAGAAGCACGCAAGCGCCTCTAGTGGCTGTCAATGAGACAGCCACTAGAGGATTAGGGGGAAGGCTTAACCCATTCATAAACATAGCAGTTTCTCAGAAACTGCTATGTTTATGAAAAAATGGGTTAACCCTAGCTGGACCTGGCACCCAGACCACTTCATTAAGCTGAAGTGGTCTGGGTGCCTAGAGTGGTCCTTTAACGAAGTCTGATACACAGCTGAATGTGACATCGCTGGTATATCTAGGCTTGGAAGTATCAGCAGCAAGCTAACAGGCTAATTTACCAACTCTAATCTTGACCCTCAGCTTATGTGAAGCAATGTACTTGCAACTAGTTTAGCTTTCGAAAAGGATTAACCCATTGCAGCAATCTACATGAGGAGGCTTGTGGGCTATGAGCCTATCTGATAACACAAATATATTTAGCTGAAAGATAAGCTTGAGAGGGACATGAGAAAAAGCTTCCGAAAATAAATTATCACCGTTTAAAATGGGCTAAAGCGTATATGTAAATGCTTGTTCCTATAAAAGGAGCACGGGTTAAGTCACATAGACAGAAGATATTATAGACATGGTGATTACATAGACAAATTATATCATGCTTGCTACTTAGTCATGCACTACACTTTTCTTCATATGGTAAGCTAACATGCATGTAACTAATATGCCTCTGACATAGTACTAGTTAAAGCTAAACAATTATGCAGTAAATGTTGAGTAGAGGAGGCTTTGCTAATCTAAAGTGAGATCATCGTTTACTTGGAGCAGTCCAGAGCATGGAGTGCTATGAGCGTTCATGCATTTATTCAGCCCACCCCACATGGAGGAATCGTGCTGCAGTCTGCGGGGACCAGTCCACTTGGTTGTGGGGGGGGGGCTGCCTCTTTGGTCCGTCTCTCTATTGGTGGTTGGGCCTGTTCCTCTAGGGTGTATGCTTTGACCCGCCAGGTGCTTGTCCCTCTGTGCTGTGGTTCCCCCAGTGCACCTCCCAGTTCCATGCCGCTTGAGTGTCCTGTGTCTTCGGCCCAAGGTTTTAGCAGGGGCCCTTGCCACAAGTCCAATGACCCCATCCTCAGGGTCGTGGGCCCAAGGTTTTGCCGGATTCCGGTTCCCCTGGGTGTATGGGTGGCGGTGAGGAGTTACCCTCTGGTGGGCTCCCTGCCCGGAAGAAGAGTGGGGATAGCTACTTGGGGCACGAGGGGTCCCCAGCACTCTGTGGCCATGCTCCGGTGCTTGGTTCCCTCCCCTGGTTTTGCCTGCAGGCAGAGGGTTTCTCCTCCTGCGGCGCCATCTTGGGGTCCTATGTTGCTTATGAGTAAGGCGCTGGCGGCCGTGTTGCGTAGGTTTCTTGTTGCTCCAGCATGTGCTCGGTTTATTCAGCCGTGCCCGGTGCTCCAGCCGTGCCCAGAAGGCTTCGAAGATAGCGGTAAGTTTGGCTTCGTAGTCTGGCATGTCTGTGTGGTGTTCAGGTGTTTTACCTGCTGCACTTGCTGTCGCCATTTTAGTTGCGTCTCCTGTTCGCCTGTCCTGGTGCTGTGTTTCTTCGGGTTGTAGGCTCAGCTTATAGCCGCCTCTCCAGTTGCTTGTTGTGGACCGAGATGAACCCATCGGTCCAGAGGGGGGGGTAGGAGGTGATGCCCTCGAGGTATCCCCTGACCAGGTCAGTCAGCGCGGGAAGCGGCCGTCTCCCCGGCGCTCGATCTCCGGTAGGCCTCAGGGCTCTTTTTCGGGTTCCCGGTGGGGTATCAGCTTGAGTTTGGTGTCGGGCTATTCTCCCTGGTATCCCCGACAGGATTTCTCGTCTCCGGTGCGCGACTGTGCCGTGTTTTTGGGGGGGTTACCCCTGAAAAGTACAAGAATTAGCAGGAGCTGAAGTGTAGCACAGCCGCTCAGCCTGAGTGCCAGGCTCCGCCCCCCCCATTGACTTATTTGTCTTTACTTTTGACAGTTGAAATAGAACCTCTTCCTCTGTAAACTCACGTGTAATAAATGACTCATTTATCCTTTTTCTTAACTGAGGTCCCTTTCCTTCATTTTCATCTGTAAATGCTGAACAAAAATATTCATTGAGGCAGTCAGCTAGACCTTTACCCTCTTCTACATATCTTCTTTCTTTTGTTTTTAATCTAACTAATCCTTGTTTTACTTTTCTTTTCTCATTTATGTATCTAAAAAAGTTTTGTCCCCTTTTTTTACTGACTGTGCTATTTTCTCTTGTGTGTGTGATTTGGAAGCTCTTATAACTTGCTTAGCCTCTTTCTGCCTAATCTTATAGCTCATTCTGTCTTCCTCACTCTGGGTTTTTTTTTTATAAGTACTAAATGCTAACTTTTAGTTTTTTACTATTTTGGCCACATTTGCGGAGTACCACAGTATTTTCATTTGTTAACACTAAATCTAGTATGGTCTCTTTACGAGTTGGCTCCTCAACTTCTTGTTTTAGAGACAATCCCAGTAGGGAGTTTAGAATATGTGGGCTCCTGGTACAAGCAGCTATTTTTGTTTTACAATTCACATCAGGAAGAATAAAGTCACCCATGATTATTTAACTCTTCAATTTTTCCTGGGGGCCTATAAATCACACCTACACGAGTTACTGTTAGATTACCAAATTCTAACGTAACCCAAACGGACTCTATGTTCGCCTCACTAACTTTTATTATGCTAGCCTTCACATACAGGGCCACCCCTCCCCCTTTCTTGCCGTCCCTGTCTTTTCTATATAAAGAATACACTGGTATTGCTATGTCCCAGTCATTTTTCTTATTATACCATGTCTCAGTAACAGCGACTAAATCTACACTATCAGTTGCCATTATTGCCACAAGTTCATGGATCTTATTCCCTAAACTGCGAGCATTTGTAGACATGACTCTAAGCTTATGATTTTTTAACACACTTGCTACAGACACCTTCTGTCCTTGTTTTGGGGGACAATTGGATTGATGTTTTATCACCCTTTTGACCCCCCCAGTTTAAATACATCCAAGCAAAACCTCTGAACTACTCACTGAGAACATTTTGTTCCCTTTTGAGAAAGATGCAAACCATCTTTTTCGTACAGCTTATTTCCATTCCAAACAGAGCTACCATGAGAAATAAAGCCAAATCCTTGCTCCCGACACCATTCACCAAGCCACAAGTTAAAGTCCCTTATATGCATCCGCCTGTCGTTCTGAGTGTTATGCACAGGCAGAACTTCAGACAATGACAGTGTGGAAGCAACCTGACGTACATCATTGGCAAAAACACTAAAAACTTCCTTAACCTCTGAAACCTCATTGCAAGCCAAGTCATTTGTCCCTAGATGGACAAGTACATCCAATTCCCCTTCCTGCTTTGCTCGCTTAACAATATTACAGATACGTCTCCTGTCTCTGTGAACAGTAGCTCCGGGAAGACACCTCACAAGACCACCCTTGTCCATCTCCACACCTCATATGATGGAATCCCCAAATAACAACTGCTTTCTATTAGGCCTCACCATAGTCTCCAAGCCTGTCTCCACAACACCACTCCCCTCAGTACCTGAGCCTGTCTCCACAACACCATTAGCCTCAGTGTCTGAACCTGTCTCCACAACACCACTAGCCTCAGTGTCTGAACCTGTCTCCACAACACCACTAGCCTCAGTGTCTGAACCTGTCTCCACAACACCACTAGCCTCAGTGTCTGAACCTGTCTCCACAACACCACTAACTTTAGTGCCTGAGCCTGTCTCCACAACACCACTAGCCTCAGTGCCTGAGCCTCTCTCCACAACACCACTAGCCTCAGTGCCTGAGCCTCTCTCCACAACACCACTAGCCTCAATGCCTGAGCATCTCTTCACAACACCACTAGCCTCAGTGTCTGAGCCTCTCTCCACAACACCACTAGCCTCAGTGCCTCTCTCCACAACATCACTACCCTCAGTGTCTGTCTCCATAACACCATTACACTCTGAAAGTGCAGAAAATTAATTATGTAGAGCAACAGACTGTGCAATATGCCGTTTATCCACAACTCTAAGTCTACCAGATCCTACAGTAATCCATCTGCCATTCCTAGTATGTCTCTGCGGCAGTGGCTTTGCAGTAGTTCCAGCCTGAGTTTGTTTACCAGATAATTTACAAATCACAGACTTCAAAAATACAATCTCCTGCCGCAAGATAGAGAACTGTCTACAGATTAGACAACAACCAAACCTCCAAAAAGTGGAACGTGAAACAAATGCATAACCACTATTACACTGAACTAAGTCTGCCATTCCAATGAGGTGAATAATTTAAATCAAACGAATCTTAACGTTTTATTTATCCTCCTGAATACCTCAGATTACCTCCAGGATATTTCCAACCACACATTTAGAAGCAACACTTAGATGACGCAACCAAGCTATATACACGTGTGTAATTTAACTCTAAGTATTTTATTGATATATGTGTATATTAATACAAAAATGCTTAGTATGACGTTATATATAAGATATATATATACACATTTAATATATATGTGTGTATATAATTTTTATTTTATTTATGAACTATATTTTTTTTCACCAGCAGGGGGAGTGCCTGTCAGTTAAGGCAGTCCCCCTGCTGGCAGCACTATGGACACCTGTTGTGGCCATGTGACCGCTCGTTTAGAGCGGTCACATGGCCCCTGGGGGTCCTAAATTAGAGAGAGGCCAGACAGTCGTCCGTCCGTCACCCGCCCTCCCCCCAAGAAGACATGGGGAGGGAGGGTAGGGTTTTTTTAAAATTTAGTTATTTTTTCATATTTACTGAGTGCCTTGGGCACTCAGTACAGGCAGAGCATCGGAAGCCTGCCTTACTGCCGAGGTCAACGTGGAGCAACCCGGAAGTGATCACTCCGGGGGGAGCGATCACCCGGTGTTCTCCGGCGGCCACCGGCAGTGAGGGGGGTATTGCAGCAATTCCTCAACATCGAGGCATCGCTGCAATACCATTAGAGCTGCTGGAAGCGATCATGATCGCTTCCAGCACTCTAATTCCCCGCGGATGTACCCGATAAGGCCGTGGTCGGGAAGGGGTTAAAGTGATACTATAAGTAATAAGGTATAAAAAGCTGTATTTCTGATATTATAGCTCTCTCTGTCTCCCTCGCATCCCTGCCGCAGTGTATAAAGGGTGTTTATTTATTTACTTACCTAAACCCAATGCTGGGTCGTGTCTCCTCCGATGTCCCACGCCGAGCAGGCGCATTAGACCTACCCGTTGCTGTTTTGTGAGTGTGCTCGATATACGGACTTCTTAAGGAGCCACACCTGTATATCTATTGTACAGATCCCTTTACTGTATAAAAGTTTAAACATTTTGTACATTTTTTTTTTTTACAACAGTGTCGGTGTGTTAATGTTTATTTATCATATACATCGCTTAAGGATACTTGCACACTGTTGTGATTTTGGGAATGTGCATTCCCGAACCTGCTAGAAGATCCATAACAAATAATGATTGTAGTAATTGTCACATACATTAAATGCAGTTGAATGGCTGAAATCAAGAATCAGTTTTTTCTTTTTTAAGGATAGTACAGGCTACCTTTTATTATTTATACACACACACATCACAAATTCTGTTTGGAGGTTTTGCATACGTTTGCCTTCAAATGGAAACAGGGAGTTGGTTTTGCAACAAAAGAAATGCATATTTTGCAACTAGATACTGAAAAAGGAAAACATTTTGAAATATTCTCCGGGGATGAATTAATAAACTAAAGGAACAAACACACTGCAAATGGAGTGTGCCAAATTCCAGTAACAAAATCAATGAACATGTTGAACATTAAATGGGGGGGAAATCATGGTAAAGTATGTTTATTCAAATGATGTAAATAAAAAGGTTCTAATAAATGAATCACAAACAAATATGCATATAAGAAACACTATGTGCAAACAATATCCTAAAAAGGCAAAGGATGAGTTGACCACTTATGGAGCTTGGAATAAGACCTGCCGATCTGGTAGAAAGTGTAATAGAATCGTCACCCGTATCGGGTCACTCACAACCCTCAAATCAAGTGGAACTAATGGAGCGGCTGTAAGGGTGAGAAGAAAAAAAAAAATATTCACTCAATGTGTATCACACTTATCGTTTGTTGGACTTCCTCAGAGATATATATTTACATTTCCTATCCATACCATTTGAGTACCCAAGTTAACCCTGTGTCGACGTAAAAACATTGTGTTGGCCATATTTTCTCGCATGCACTCCTATGAGTGGAACGTAAAAAAAAACAAAAAACTATATGGACCAAATCGAACAGTGCACTTAATACATATCTCCCCATCAACCAATAGTAATGTGTGTCAGTGTCCCAATAGAACAAAATCCCTATGCACATTAAGGGTTAATAAGTGTATAGGGTTTTAGAGATTTTACCTTTCAGCTTAAAGAAGCAAGGTGAATTGTTATTGTAGGACTCACCTAAGAGGTTTTGCCTTGAGGTGGCAGGTGAGCTTATCTTTAATGGCCATTTGAGTGATACTAAAAAAAAAAACCCTCCAGTTATTTAAATATGCATAGGGATTTGGGGCAGTGCCGAAGTAACTTTTTCTTTGGAACTAAACTTTGTTTGCCTTTAAGCTGCAGTGATTTTGTAGCGGAGCCCTAGTCCTAGCAGGGACTCTACTCCGCTGGTTTCTCCAACATACACTCAGGAACAAGTAGAATGCTCCAAAACAGCCAAACACAGTAAAAATACTCCAGAAATCTCCCACCTCTTCCCCAGCAACTGTACGGCACACCGCTCTGGGGGTATAACTGATTTTAATGGAGCCACACACGGTGAATGAGAGAATCTCCATGCAAGGGGTTTCCAAATACACATTCCAGGGGCATTCCCCACTGAGAGTAGACTAAGACAAAATACACAACATAATTACATTAACTCAGGTCCAGGACATGTATAATAATAATCACCCCAAAACATACAGTTTCTCACAAGATACCCCCTTAAATCCTATATCCCTGGATAGCTTGGATCTGAGAGCCCAATATATCCAAAAATCGCTCAGATCCCACTAATGCAGCCGAAAGGTCATCAGCATAGGCATGCGCACGGGGTGTGCCTGGGCCCACCCTAATCACACCTCCGTGTTGCACTGCCTTAGGGCAGATTTACATGTCGGGTCCTCGGTCTGACCGAGGACACGACACAGGAGGGGGCCCTGCGGCTTGCCCACAATGCCGCCAGGTGCGAGGCCCCTCCTGTCAGTCTGCCCTGATGGAGATCCAGCCTCAGTCTGCAGCTCCGCCGGGATTGAGCTGCAGACTGAAGTGTCTCGCGATCTCCAGCCTATCATAGCGTTGCTGCGGGTTACCACGGCAACGCTCTGACTGACTGGAGATCGCGAGACTCACCATGTGGTCTAAAGCTCACTCCCGGCGGAGCTGCAGACTGAAGAGAGAGGGCGCCCACTGGACCACCAGGGAAGGTATTTAAACCCTGTGCCCCCTGTCACTGCCCCTCTACCCCCCAACCCCTGTTACTGCCCCTCCACCCCCCTAATCCCTGTCACTGCCCCCCTAACCCCTGTCGCTGACCATCAGGGAAGGTATTTAAACCCTCTGCCCCTGTCCTGCCCCTCTACCCCCCAACCCCTGTCACTGCCCCTCTACCACCCCAACCCCCCTAACCCCTGTCACTGCCCCCCTAATCCCTGTCACTGTCCTTCTACCCCCAACCCCTGTTGCTGTCCCTCTACCCCCCAACTCCTGTGGCTGCCCCTCTACTCCCCACCCCTGCCGCTGCCCCCCCTACCCCCTGTGCCCCTCCCCCTGTGCCCACACAGTGCACCCCTCACAATCATACACACTGTACCCCACACACACTGTACCCCTCACAATTACACACACTGTACCCCTCACAATCACACCACACTGTACCTTTCACAATTACACACACACACTGTACCCCTCGCAATCACACACACTGCACCCCTTACACGCTGCACTGCTCACAATCACACTGTACCCCCTGCAATCACACACACTGCACCCCTTACATGCTGCACTGCTCACAATCACACACACACTGCACCACTCACAATTACACACACACTGCTCACCTATGTGTATTTGTATATATATATATATATGTGTGTATGTATGTATGTACGCGGCGTGTGTGTTTGTGCTTTAGGGTGCACACCCTAATGCAACAGGCTGCGCACGCCTATGGCTATCAGGGTATAATTTAGGCCAACCGCACACGAGGTGCCTGCCCAAAAAAGTTCCATGAAATTAGGCTGTGCGATCGGTCTCTTTCGGTAGTATCAAATAGGCGAAAGATAAGACATAAACTGTTCGTGAAGACATTTTTTCTGTGTATCTTGTTCGGGAGTTTGCTCCCCCCGAACACCACTCTGTTCATCTGAATCCCCACGAACATAACAGAGGGTGGAAGTCACAGCGGTGTCGAGTGTCCGATTTTAGTTCCATGCACTCGACGACCAAACACCGCTGTCTCTGTTCATGGCTAAAGATGGCCGCTGCCACGGGTTACACACACGAATGGCAGCCAACCGCTTGGAATGCAGGTTATTGCGGTTGGTGGAGGTGTGAACATAAATTACTAGGGTTAATGAGCGGCACACTCCACATATGGGTGGTCTGGCGTTCGTTAATTTTTTCAGTTGTCGAACAAGATGCTGTTAATATGCGAGGTGGCTGCTATTTTACCAAACGGCCAGACGAACAGAGGAAAGAACAAGATGATCCAGGGACTATGAGCACGAAACATAGGAAATAGGGGGGACAAGATACGGACAGACCATAGCAGGAATAAGGATAATAGTCCAAGGTTCATTCCGCTACAGATTTCTTTTTTCTGTGCATCAATACCTTTGCAATAAGGCAAATTAGTGAATGTGCTGTGAGTGATTACTTTGACCTTCTTTGTAAGCTTTTTCACACAAAAAAAGAGTTAAAATCTCACAGGGCTCTAGACCGGTTACCGGTTTCCCGCTCACTCTTTACTCTTGATATAAAAATGTTGAATGGTGATAATAGTGGCCAAGCATCCTCACGTTATCCGGTATCTTACCGTCTAGTCCTTAGGTGAGCAGGCATCTTTGGTTAACTTATAGTTAATAAGCTATGCTTCTACAGCGCCGCTTCCCAATTGGTGTTCAGCGAGAACAAAACTGGGGCCCCTGTTGTATGGGATGCTGAGAGGAAGTGTCAGCACTTCCTCCCAGACAGAGCGCACGGGCTGGAGGGAGAGAGGGAGTAGCGGGAACTGAGCTGCTGCCGACCTCGCACACCAACCTCAGTCAGCAGCACTAAAGGAAGTCACTCTTACAGAAAAAAGGTAAGTGAACAGGAGGGTGACTGCAAATATAAACATATGAGTCAGTGTGTGTGTGTGTACCTGTGTCAGTTTGTGTATCTGTCAGTGTGTGTAACTGTATGTCAATGTGTATCTGTGTGCCATTGAGTGTGTGTGTGTGTGTGTGTGTGTGTATATATATATATATATATATAGATATATATATATATATATAGATATAGTGTGTATGTGTCAGTGTGTATCTGTTTGTAAATGTGTAAGTATGTATGTGACAGTACATGTACAGAAATCCCAGCGATCAACCACCAACACAACACACACTCCTGCAAACACAAACATGACATAAAAAGACACCCCTGAAGTCTTACTCCAAAATTATATACAAACACCAATACTACACCCAAATGTACATCCACATTTGAAATTCAACACTACATCCAAACACACCTCTGCACACAAATGCAAACATTACATTCAAACACACCCCTGTATTAAAATGCTAAGATTATATACAAACGCCAACTCTACACACAGAAACACACTGCTATAAAAATAACAAAATAAAATCCCAAATTCCCCAATAAGGGACAAAGCAGCATGCCTAACCTTTCCCAAGTCCATCCATAAATATTGCTATTCACCAGTCCTATCAATGGTTCCGTGGGAGGTGTTTCTTCCTCAGCTGCGGCCACTTCATCTTCTTTATTCATCCATAATTCTTCCAGATGTTTCCCATCAGTTTCGCCCATCGCGTCACCTCTGTGTGAACCGGAAGTGATTCCATGCGGCTGCCATTTTAGTTCCAGTTTGTTTCCAAGACCTGGGGTATGTGGAGAATGAGGGCATATATAGTAATTAAAGGGACACTGTAGGCACCCAGACCTTTTCAGCTCATTAAAGTGGTCTGGGTGTTGTGTCCCTTTTGCACATAGTGCTGCAATGTTAAATCTCAGATTTTTTTCCCCTTAAGAAAGCATTGATTCAATGCTTTCCTATTTGGAGGTCTAATGCACGCGCTGCATTTTCTGCACATGCACATTAGAGCTCGCTCGCCACGGAGCTTGGACCCAGCGCCGAGGGACAACGGCACTGGGATCAGGTAAATAAGTAATGGGTTTTAACCCTTTATTTATCAAGTAGGAGGGGACGCAAGGGAGGGGGCAGTCAGAGGGATCGGTAGTGCCAGGAATAAAGCTTTGTATTCCTGGAACTGCAGTATCCCTTTAAATGTCCCTCTTCACTGAAGCCTATTTTATCCACTTTATAATATCGTAGATATCAGAAATTTTAGGCAGTGGAAAGAGAAATAGTGAAGACTATATGAACTGCCTTCTGCATTACCTGGTTTCGAGAATAGTGGATATGACTATTTGATCTCTGGTAGCTTAATATTTCACCACGTATGACTTCTAAAGTTATGTGTCATTCTTTGATACTTATATGCCTGTCTTTGTTACATCATTGCATCCTTTCATTTCCAGGTGTTGAGGTATAATATTTCAGTTCTTAGATCCCTTATGGAAAAGTGTCTACAAAAAGTTAAGCAACAGAAATAGATTAGTACAGGGGTGCCCAAAAGGCAGATCCCCAGATGCAGTGGCGTACATGCAGGGGTCGGCCACCCTGCGACCCGGTATGTATGCCACTGTGGCCAGTCTCTTCTCCTGGGTGGCCCAGGAGCTGGCCACCTCATGATCCCCCGAGGCTGGCCCTGGTGTCACCCGGCAGGCAGGCTGGCGGGCGCGTGAGGGAGCACTCTCCCCTGAGAGAGATGACATCATATTCCGGCTCCGGCATCAGTACGCGGCGTGCGAGGGAGCTGAACAGGAAGCACTCAGGAGAGAGTGTTCCCTCGTGTGCCCGCCAGCCTGGAATTCACTATCTTATTTAAATTTATGCATTATGTGGGTAATGCATTTACCCCCTTCAGATGATGCGTCAGGACCAGGGATGTGAAGTCGATACACACAACCTTCGACTCCTCAATTCATGGTAACTCCAACTCATATTATTTTACACTAGTAGCCAAAATTGTGGGAATCTTTTGGAGAATTTGTATTTCTGTATTTCAGAGCTAGTAGACATTATTACAACGTGTGGCTTTTCGGGGTCGATTTATATGCCAGCTATATATCTTAGATTTAGTCAGAACTTTATATTTTTTTTTTTTTAAACTTCATCAACTCCAGCAAGCGGAAATTGCTTCCTACTCCACAGCCACGGTTAGAGCTGTAAAGATATCAGGATTTGTCAGTACTTTTGAAGAACAATGCTAGGTCATCTAATTTATATTACACCTCTGCCACAGCACAGATCATTCTTTCACATTTCCAGTCTTACATAATGCATTTTGTTAATAGAAAACTTAGAGCAATACTTTGCAATGAAATAAGAATAAATTACGTAGAAAGCACTTATTTAAAACAATTTGGTTTCAAAACTTTGAATAGTTATTTATTTATATACATGTTGCGTAGGACTCTAATGATGGTATGAAAACGTGTGCTTTTTTTAATATATACTATCTTACTACAATTTTTTTATTGTATATAAAACATTAATTTTGCCTCTTATATGTTCATATTCTACATTTTACTCTGATATAATTTGGAATACTATCCATCACTATGCTGCTAATCTGAACGAAGGGACTCAACTACTGGTGGTTGTACTCAAAACACAACGCAATTCTAGGAAGCATAAGTAGCCCAGAGCTCAAAATCTTGACTTGTCATTGTGGAGGTAAAATAAGCCAATTCATGTCAGAACCTAAATAAAACTACTGTGGCTGCAATTTATCTTGCAAAACCAGTTTTCATGTTTTTACAAATGAAAAAGTAGCCAGGGCCTCAAGCTGTACAATGTTTAATAGAAATACAAGGGCAAGGGCAAGGTTTAGCTGAGAAAGCTTCCTTCTGTTCATTGTAGAAGCAGCAGAATCCTGTGCATATGCAGCAAACTATTAGAATATATATATTTTTTCTTTCAATTATACATTCAGTATTGCATTATTTACATAAAAGAGAGGCTGCCTCAGGCATTTATTATTATTATTATTATTATTATTCAAAGTGAATATTTACTAGATAGTTAAGATTTGTTTCCCCAGATTAGATTCTTTTCAGTATCGATTTGGTAGCAAGGAAAGGATGCATGTATTAAGTGTCATACTGTAATGGATATACAATGATGTGATGTCAGCGTAAAATAGACCGGCCATCTGCAAAGCAAAAACACTTTATACTAATTACTAGACCACTACAAAATTGTGCAAACATCTAAAAAAGATTAACGTACACTGAAATCAACCCAGATATATTGTCCTAGTAATTTTACCCATATGTCCATGGAACCTTCAGAGGAATGATGCAAAAGGATCCAGGATTATTTTAGAGGTACAATATCCAACTGCCCAAAGTCAAGACATGCAAACCATCAAGCAATCAGCCTTGATTAAGCCACAACATTTCTTCATCATTGTTACTTTCGGCTGACAGGAAATTAAAGTGTCATACTCTAGTGGTTATGATTGAGACCTGAGAAGGAAAGTGCAAAAGCGGAAGTCCTTTTAAAGGGAATAGTGTGGTAGTATGATGTAAGAGCCCATCGTAGTGCATTGGTAAAGGTTTGGACTGTGTTCATGAAAGATTTATGGGTTCAATCAATAACAGAACACAGGTATCACTTGATGTTCACCTCCACTCACATAAAGCACAGATTAGGCCAAGAGTCTCAACTCCCATCAAAAAAGAGGCGAAGGAGCAATCAAGCTATCAATAACGTTTCCAAGGATATTGTTCTCTGTTGTTTTTTGTTGTTGTTGTTTGTTTTTTTGTGAAGTGACATATGTACATTGTGTACAGTTTGTGCATTCCAACAGTTACACATCGACTTAGGCGATATAGATATTTTAACAAGCAATGATATATGCAAAAGTTGTTGAGTAGTGATGTCCCGAACGGCGAACATATGACCCTGTACCTCACAGTCAGCAGACACATTCCAGCCAATCAGCAGCAGACCCTCCCTCCCAGACCCAATCAGCAGCAGACCCGCCCTCCCAGGAGGTCGGAGGGTCTGCTGCTGATTGGCTGGAATGTGTCTGCTGACTGTGAGGTACAGGGTCATATGTTCGCCGTCCGCAGCGAACCGTTCGGCGAACCGTTCGGGACATCACTATTGTTGAGACATTTCAACTGCTGAATAATAAAATCTTGCAATGGGTTACATTTTTGGCTTTGTTGAGTTGCATACAAGGAGCTGTATAGCATGAAATAGAAAAACAAATGTTTGCTTTAGGGCAAAGTAAAATGTCAGGGATATATGAAACTGGGAAGGTGGAGCAACCCCCATTGAGATTAGTTGTGCTGCATCTACATTATAGGGACACTATAGTCACCAGAACAACTACAGCTTATTGAATTTGTTCTGGTGAGTAGAAGCATTACCTTCAGGCTTTTTGCTATAAACACTGTCTTTTAAGAGGAAATAGGGGCAGGTCTATTAAACAGTGAGCAGCCTGTGGCTGCTCACTGTTAAAAAAAAAAATATATATATATATTTTAACCCCCCCAGCTGATTAGGGGTCCCCAAAGTCACCGCCTCCCCCAAAAAATAACCCCTACCTACCCCCTCACCCTAAAAATAATGAGGGGGGACCATAAGCTAGATACCTGTAAACAGGGCCGCCGTCAGAAATTTTGGAGCCCATGACAAAGCACAAGGTCTGGGCCCCCCCCCACTCCCTCCCTCCCTCCCGGGCCCGCCCACGCCCTACCTAGTCCGCTCACAATGATGGAGGACAGAATGTGTTGTGTATAGTGGAAGTGAATTAGAATGTGTGTAATGGATGTAGTGTTTGTGTGTATTAGATACTGTTTGTGCAGTGAATGCAGAGTGTGTGTTTGTGTAGCCGATGCAGTGTGTATAGTGAACGCAGAGTGTATTTGAGTAGTGGATGTAGTGTGTGTTTGTGTAGTGGATGTAGTGTTTGTATGTACTAGATGAAATGTGTTTAGTGGATGCAGTGTCTGTAGTGTGTGTATTAGACGCAGTGTCTGTGTATAGTGAATGCAGAGTGTTTCAATTTGTGGTGGATGTAGTGTGTGTACTGTGAATACAGGATGTTTGTGTAGTGGATGCTGTGTGTACAGTTAATGCAGAGTGTGTGTCAGTATAGTGAATCCAGAGTGTGTGCATAGTTTAGTGAATGCAGAGTGTGTGTTAGTGTGTAATGAATGCAGAGTGTGTCAGTGTAATGAATGTAGTGTGTGTGTTAGTGCAGTGAATGCAGAGTGTGTGTTAATGTGTAGTGAATGCAGAGAGTGTGTTAGTGTGTAGCGGATGCAGAGTGTGTGTTGGTGTAGTGAATGCAGTGTTAATGTGTAGTGAATGCATAGAGTGTGTTAGTGTGTAGCGGATGCAGAGTGTGTGTTGTGTTAGTGTATGCAGTGTGTGTGTGTGTTGTGTTAGGGTATGCAGTGTGTGTGTTTTGTTAGTGTATGCAGTGTGTGTGTGTTGTGTTAGTGTATGCAGTGTGTGTGTGTGTTGTGTTAGTGTATGCAGTGTGTGTTGTGTTAATGTATGCAGTGTGTGTGTGTTGTGTTAGTGTATGCAGTGTGTGTGTGTGTGTTGTGTTAGTGTATGCAGTGTGTTGTGTTAGTGTATGCAGTGTGTGTGTGTGTGTGTTGTGTTAGTGTATGCAGTGTGTGTGTGTGTGTATATGTGTGATCTGGGGGGGGAGTGGGGAGGAAGGGGCATTTTAACATTAATTTTTTATTAATTTAATTAGATGTTTCTCCCCCCTCCCTGCTTACCTGTGTCCAGGGAGGGGGGAGATTCCATCCCTGGTGGTCCGGTTGGGGGGGCCCCCGGCTTCCTGTTACCGCAGAGGGGGCCCAGGCAGCACACAGCTTCTCCTCTCTTCTCTCTTCTAATAACGCTCGCGAGACCCGGTTACCATGGCAACGCTCCGCGGGTCTCGCGAGAGTTATTAGAATAGAGAAGAGAGGAGAAGCTGTGTGCTGCCTGGGCCCCCTCTGCAGTAACAGGGAGCCGGGGGCCCCGCGGCTGCACACATAGATGGCGATATTCGCTACCTATGTGTGCAGAAAGGGAAAGTGGGGCCCAGGACGGCCAGAGCAGTCCGGGCCCCCCAGGGCCGCCGGGCCCGTGACAACAGTCACGGTTGTCACCCCCTGATGGCGGCTCTGCCTGTAAAAAAAAAAAAAACACCATTTAATGTCTTCTTTCTTCTAAAAACAAAAAAACCTGAGCGCAAAAAAAATAATCCTTCTTCACCCATGGAGGGCTCCACGAAGACTGAGTTCTGCAGGGAGAGGGAAGGCTTATAAAGCCTTGCCCCGTCCTGCAATTAGGCTCAGAGAACTCTGGTTGGTTGGTTTAAGCCATCCAATCAGAGTGCTCTGACAGGTAAATGAAGAGACTGACAGGTAAGTCTCTACATTTACCTGTCACAGCACTCTGATTGGTTAGCTGAAAGACCAATTTAGGTCTTTCAGCCTTTTGGTAGATAACTCCCTAATACCATGGGAATTAGGGAGTTATCTACTAAGCGGCTGCAAGTTAAGTTCCGAATCGCCGAAGTCCCGAATTTCGGAATGCCGAACTGAAAATTTTCCCCATGCACATCCCTACTAGTTGGTTCCCCTGGACTGCAACAATGCATACAATTGGGAAATTCCTCTGCTGATTGTTCACCTCTAGCACACAGGATTTTGAAGGAAGCCAGTTCCATGTGTACCAAATGCTTTTCTCCAATCTGGGCATAAAATGCCCATACCTGGAAACAGCGGAGTCTTTGTAGGGCTGATGGTGCTTTTTTGTGCATCATGTCAGGCAACGGTTTCAACAAAGTTGAAGTACACCATTGGTGTAGGTATAACCAATCGGAATCCCCAAAGTTGCGCAAATCAGCAGCAGACAATTCTTCCACTATTGCTGAATTGAACACCAGTGGCGTCAGCGAGCAGGGTATTGCCATAGGTTGTTGTTTTAGTCTCAACGAATTCTGTACATTTATTGATGCACCAGTGAAAGGATAATGCATGAGGAGATGGTCTTGTGTAGATTCAGGTTGCCAAATTGTCACCATGCAACTTCCCACTTGCCTGTCCTCTCTCTAACTGCATCCATTTTTTAGTCAGGGGGCTTACGTGGACGCGGACCACATGTTATATTATGATATGAGAGTGGACCAAGTCAAATGCAACCCCCCTTCCCCAATGTTGTGTGGCTTTGCAATATGTTATGAGTCGCTGGTAGTGCCAATTCCCCTTAAATGCTTCGGGAGCTGTATTAGTGTTCGACAAACTTTAGGTGTTCCTCCTTTCAAAACAAACACTGTTATAGCAGTCAACCACCTGAAAAAAGGCCAGTGGAAAATAAGAGGGAGCAACCTAGGCAGGAGGTTGATTTTGATGGCATTTAAAAGCCTGAACCAAGAAACACATAGGACTCCCCCACCGAGCATTTTCCATCCCTAGAGTCTGTAATATGGTTGTTAAGTTATCTTTGTACAATAGGTCCAACTTTTCTGTAAACCATAAGCCCAGGTACCATATTTTACTAGTGCACCACATGAACTTAGAGGTCTCACAGGTGTTGCACCACCCTCTCTGCCATTGCTATCAGCAGTGCCTATGATTTATCAGTGTTGAGTTTAAGGTTTGACAATTCACCATATTCTGCAAAAGCCGAGAATTTCAGTCTAAGTTTAGCTCCCATAAGATTTTCGAATGTCCTAATAACCACTAGAGCAGAGCTCTGAGAAAAGTAAGTCAATAATTTCCATTATTGAGATGAAATTCGTCTTGCAGTAAAAAAAAAAAATATGGCTTGCAGAGACAGAGATCTAGTGGTGGAGATGCTCAACGGTTTTGGTTGGATTGTAAATAAACAAAATAGTTTTCTGTTTCTTCCTCAAAGTATTCAGTTTTTGTCAGGCATTTAAAGCAAATGTTCACAAAGTCAGGGCCACTGAGGCCTACTGCTAGCTACTTCATATTGGGGTTTAATGTGTATGTAGGTAGCTGAGTGAAGGGTGATGACCCTGCCCCTTCCCAATTCTACTGCTTAATACTTCTTGGCACATTCGCAGTTACTTGCAGACACACACACATGCATGCAAACGTGTGCGCGAGCGCAGACATGTACACTCAGAAACACACAGGCATAGTCAGGCAGACACAGACAGGTACACAGGGCACAGTCAGGCAGACACAGACAGGTACGCACACCCACAGTCAGGCAGAGACAGACAGGTACAAACAGATAGGCAGACACAGACAAGTATGCAGGCATGAATATACATTATAAAAACTATTTCTTTAAGTACAAGGTGTGTCTAATGATCCCTGATAATCCCCGTCTTCCGTTATTAGGTTTTTTTTTATTTTTATTAAACTGTTGGTTTTGTCTTGTATGGTATTCTGAGTACACTCTACTCAGCTGACTTGCAGACACATATGCAGTAGCTAACAGTAGACCTTACCAGCCCTGGCTTTCAAAAATTTGCTTTAAACCCCTAATACTTAGGGGCAGCAATAAATACTCTCAATTTGCCCAAAATTTCCTTTCGGCAGGAGGTAACAATAACATACCACATCATATAGACATGGGCATCTTCTGCAAATAAATGTTTCCTAACGAAAGTGATCAAGAAGCCATGTTTCTTTCAAATGTAATAGATTTGACCTGCTGTAATACCGAGCACTAGGGACCCAACCACCTGTACACTGACCTCTCTCCATGTCCCCTCTGAAGTTTAATTGCAGTTTGTTCACACTGTTCCTGCTCTCTGCTCTACCTGCCCACGCTGGTATCTTCAACGGGGCTCAGCCTGGAGTGGAAAAAATATGACACTCTATCATATTACCTGTATTTCTGTTATTGCACTAGTCTTAGACTCACTGAGGAGACCAGAGGTGGGCAGGGAGAACAGAGCAGGGGAAGAAGGCCAACAAGATCTGGGTCTATAGGGGCCACATTCAGGACTTGAGCCCCCCAGTCCCTATTATCGTAGCCCCTCCCCTGGTTTACAGACACATTACTCTATTTTTGCTGTGCAGCTCTGTTATACACCAAGACCCACCTGCAATATACATCTCATAGAAAAGTGGGACATTAGGATAAGAAAGTGCTACAGAGGGATTTGGGTCTAACACTGGGACTGTCCCTCCTACATAGGAACACTTGGGCGGTATGACTTAACACCCTCAAATATCTTAATAATATATATCATGGTTAGTATTGATAATCTATCCATTCACAAATGGTTTTATATGCATAATAGTATCCTTGTTGTCAACTGGAGAGATTAGTGGGTGTTTTTCTGTTTGTTTTTTTGCTTCTTCAGTGTTTTTGACTTTAAATCACAGCCTATCCCACATGAACACACATCATTAAAGTGCTGAAAGGCAGCCGCAGAAACCTAGATCTTGGCAGCAGATTAACAATAACTGGAACATCTAGTCAGACCATTCCTTATTAAGAAAGCATAAACTTATCTTTGTGGTTATAATTTTTTTGTTCCCTCTCTCTACAGTATGTAAACCTTTCCATAGAAACCGGACATAGGAAACATAAACGCATGTTTGTGCTGGTTATTTTTTTCCGGTCTCTCTCTCTCATTTTTTTTTTAATTCTTTAATTTTGTTGCAAATACATGGATGCAAATTCAGACAAACTTGTAGTGCCACAACAGCATCAACAAGCATGGCAACACATAATATTCAAAAAGAACGGAACTTTGAAAATTCTGTACAATTTGTATTATGTAATAAACAGGCTAATCACACATTTCTAGGTTTCATTACTAACTGCAGAAAAACTAATATTTTAGAAAAGACATGGTAGGGTAGGAATAGGTTAACAGCATAATATACCACCCTAAACCGCCATAGAGACAAGTTGGAGATATGCTACATAAATGGGAGCACAGAACATTGCATTTTTTTATCTGGAGCTATTTAACATAGAGTACAGGTAAGGAAGAACAAAAATAGCTTGGGTCTAGTAGATAACAAGAATGAGCGTGTAAGATACAGAAGATTGGAAGATAATATGCAACCAGAGGCTCAAACATGGCGGTCAGCCTATCTGCAGTACACTGTTGCTGAGTAATCGCGCTCAGTGGTGGTGATTCTCAGTTGGCAGGTGCTCACGGGAGACACCAGGGTCAAGACAGACCCTGACAGGGTCTACATGCATGTCCACATGCCGATTGTGGGCGCCTAGCAGTGATCACAGTAAAATTGGCATGGAAAGCATGGTGGTCACAGACCGCTACTGTTTTCACTAGTAAACTCATCTACTGATAATATAAAACAAATTTTACACAATAGCGTGCAGAACACACAAAGTGTAGGGGTGGTAGTAAAAAGTAACAGTGCAACTCCACAGTGTTTTAAAACCACTTAAAAAACACAGATAACATACAAGTAAAAGATAGAGATAGAGGAGTGCAAATACAAATGTATATGGTATACTTAGAGACACTGGTCAGTCCTTCAGATGTAACCTATATACAAAAAGATCCAAACATAGTATAATACTGTTTTTCCAAATAATATAGTAAATAAATGTGGATTTTTCACTCACACTTTGCAGAGCCACGTATAGTAGGCTCTGACTATAGTTGCTCTTTGGTAATTCCCTGGTGTATTAAACTCCACCACGCCTTCAGGATTCTCCACTTGGATCAGGATACAGGAGATATAAAAATTCCAAAACAGAGTGGGGATACTTTTCGAAATTTAATAATATTCAGGGACATATATAAAGTGCATAAGACAAAATAGCAGCACTATATATGCAAAGACATCTATAAAGTGCATAAAAAGAATAACACTAACGCGTTTCGACTAAAATAAAGTCTTTTTCAAAGTGCATAAAGTAATGGTCGCCATGTTGGGTATTTATATCCTCACTGATGTTCTAATTTGGCGCCCAAACATCTCCGTCGTGGTGTCCTCCTCCTACTTCCTGGTTCCGGCGGGCGGCTTCCACGTTCCCGCCCTTTTTCACGTCACGTTGCGTCTGACGTCAGACGTTTTTCGCCGGACCGGAAGTACTTCATATTGAGTTCATGAAGCTATTGCAGCCATATTTGAACGTTCTTAAATCATATAGTCTGAATAAAGAGGTTCTGACACTAATCTTTCTTCAAATTTATGTGTCTCTTATCCTAAAACTTATTTCATTATAATCATACATTTGAATATCCAAAACATAATTACATATATCAAAATCTAATTAATAACATATTATATAAAATACAAGAGGAGATAAAAAACGGAGAGAGAGAGAAATTTAGGGGGAAAGAGATATTATTAATCAAAAAGATATAAAAAACAATATAGTTGGAAAGTATATAATGTTAAAAAAGTGTGTATATTAATAACCTTAAATAAAATATTTAAATAAGTACACTCATCTCAAAATCCATATTGAGACCTTTGGGTGATAGTGTATCCAAATTAAAAATCCAGCCCATTTCACATTTACTTAGGTTAGAATTAATGTCACCCCCTCTCCAATGCTTAGTCACAGCTTGAATTCCATAAAACTTGATTCCACTTGGGTCTTGATTATGATGTTCTAAAAAATGTAAAGAAACACTATGTGTTTTGAATCCTTTTTTAATGTTGTATATGTGTTCCCGCACCCTCGTGGCCACACACCTGGACGTCTTGCCCACATATTGCAGGCCACAAGGGCATTCTAGCACATACACAACATTTTTAGTTTTACAGGAAATAAAGTTTTCTATCTTATGTTCTTTTAGGTTAACATTGGAGTGGAAGGACAGTATCTTCCTTTCTTTTATTTTAGATGTTCTACATCCCATACAGCTACCACAGAAATTAAATCCTTTTAATAAAGCTTTCTGACTATTTAAAAAATTATTGTCAGTTTTTTCAATAAAACTCGAAGTTAAAATCTGTTTGAGATTTTGTGCCCCCCTATATATAATTTTTGGTTTCTCCCCTATATAGGGTGTAATGTCATCATCCTGTTTAAGTAAATGCCAATTTTTGTTGAGAATACGTTTTAGTTTAGAATGATTTTTATTAAAATTAAATATTAGTGGGATCGTATCTTCATGTTTGTTATCTTTCTTTTGTTGGTAATTTAACAGTTCTTCTCTTTTTAATTTTCCAATTTCTTGAATAGTATTTTCAAGGTTTTCATTTTTATAGCCTTTTTCTAAAAATTGTCCTTTCAATGTAGAGGCCTGCAGGTTATATTTTTCTATTTCCGAGCAGTTCCTTCTCAGTCTAAGGAACTGACCTCTCGGAATATTGTCCAACCAAGGTGGAAAGTGACAGCTCCCCTTTTCAATAAAGCTGTTCACATCCACCTGTTTAAAAAAGGTGCAGGTTTCAATTTTATCTTTCTTTATATAAATATTCAGGTCTAGAAAATCAATCGTTTGGTTATTTATTACATGAGTTAGTTTAATATTCCACTGATTGATATTAAGATAATTTAAAAAATCTAAAACCAATGATTCATCACCATTCCAAATAAAAAAGATATCATCAATGTATCTTCTATAGAGGACCAGGTTCGCAACCCAGTCATGCTGGGAAAAAACAAACTGTTCCTCCCAGAAGGCCATAAAAAGATTAGCATAACTGGGGGCGAACCTGGTCCCCATAGCCGTTCCTCTACACTGCAGATAAAAATCCCCCTCAAACCAAAAAAAATTGTTGTTTAAAATCAATTGAATAGACTCTAATATAAAATCAATTTGCAACTCCGAATACATTTTTGAATTTTGGAGGAAGGATCTTGTTGCTTCGCAGCCTTTATCATGTTGAATACACGTATAGAGGCTGGCCACATCACATGTGACAAGCAAGAAATCCTTTTCCCACTTAACATCTTTTAAAATCTGTAGTAGACTCATAGAGTCTTTAAGAAAGGAGGGACATGTCTTAACTATCGGTTGTAAAAAGGTGTCAACATATTTGGATAGGGGTGATAATAATGATCCTATCCCTGAGACTATAGGTCTCCCGGGTGGATTCTGTATATTTTTATGTAACTTTGGCAAAACATATATAACGGGTATTCTTGGGCATTCTGTATTTAGAAATTTATATTCCTTTAGCGTTAAGATGCCCTTTTGTAGACCCCTATCTAAGATTTTTATATATTCTTTCCTTATTTCAATTGAAGGATCATTTTTAAGCTTTTTATATGTTTCTTTATCGTCTAATTGTCGTTTAATCTCCGCTATATATGACTCTTTATTTAAGAGCACCACCCCTCCCCCCTTATCGGCGGGTTTAATCACTATGTTTTTATCTTTTTTTAAATCAATCATTGCTTTTTTCTCTTTGATAGTCAAGTTGTTTTGATATTTATTATTTTGAACTTTTATTTCTTTTATATCCTTAATACATGCTTTCTCAAAAACCTTCATTTCTTTGGATTTTAAATAAATAGGATAAAATTTAGAGGGGTTCTTTAAATCTGTGTGATGAAATTCATTGGTCTCCTCATTAGTCTCAACATCTGAGTGTGAGTGAAAAATCCACATTTATTTACTATATTATTTGGAAAAACAGTATTATACTATGTTTGGATCTTTTTGTATATAGGTTACATCTGAAGGACTGACCAGTGTCTCTAAGTATACCATATACATTTGTATTTGCACTCCTCTATCTCATCTACTGATAACATTAGTGTAACGGATCACCTGGCACCCCGACTGGGTACCTCCGTTGAAGGATGCCCTAGCGCTTCCTGAGGACTCCAAGCACTGCAGCAGACACCACAACCACCGCAGATTCCGCAACCGCTGTAGCTTGACTGGAGTCTCGCCGTCTTCCTTCCACCCTGGATCAGCTTCTGTCCTCCATGACCGTGTGGGAAAGACCTCTTCCTTCCACCCTGTACGAACCTCCAGCATCCAGGACTGTGCGGGGAAGACCTCTCCTCCAAGGAGAGCGTGTCAGGAACAAGCTCTTAAAAGAGCTAAGTGATTCAAGCTCAGGGGAGAATGCAGAGCATAGCAATCCCCAGTGTGATTATAACAGCTCCCTCCAATAACGAGACAAGGCTACGTTTAGAGGGATCAAGAAGAACTGTCTAAACCTTTATTTCCCTTGGGACCAGCCCATAGGGTCACCACATTAACATTGCTGTGAAAACTCAATAAAATCACAAACAGTCAAACCATAGCAGGCAATACATTACACAGTACACACACACACTATGAACAATTACATTACACACAACCTGCACCTATAATGGGTACAGGGTGACTAAAACATAAGAGAAATAAAGAAACCTACATAAATAGTCTGTCTGAAGGTAGAATAGGGGCTTTAAAGCCAAATACATCAAAGAGTCATAGTCACAGGGGAGGAGGCTGGCAAGCAGGCCTCTCCAGGACCAAGTGGCGAAGGGCACTTCGTCACAATTACTAATATTAGCAGAGGGTAGGGATAGTTGTAGGGTTAGTTTTAGAGTTAGTGTTGGGGTAAAGGATAATGCTGTTTTAGGGTTAGGAATCGTGTAGAGGTAAGGTTAACATAGGTATATGGCTATCGAAGAATTGATATAGGGTTAGCGTTAACTACTGCTAAATTGTCAAAATTGTAAGCTCCTGCTTCTACTCCATGGCCTGTGGGATAGGAATATATTATGATATGAGAGTGAACCAAGTCAAATTCAACCCTCCTTCCCCAATGTTAGGAGCAAGAAGCTTGTATATCCTCTGGATCCCTCTGGATCCTGCCCCCACCACCTGTGCTCTGTGATAGGGATAGCCTGCCTTTCCCCTATCCCTCTAAATTCAGTTCGGCATAGGGGCATTTAAAGGGAAAAAAATCTGAGCTCAACAATGCATCTCCGGTCCTTAAAAAAATCGTTAAAAACCCACTTCTTCATAAAAGCGTATCAATTAAACTAAATAGCTCCTGACTGATTCCTCTTCTGCAACTGTCACTAGTCTAATACTATCCTTACCTTTTGTGTCATTTTACCCCACTCCCTCTAGCATGTAAGCTCATTTAGCAGGGCTCTCAACCCCTCTGTTCCTGTGTGTCCAGCTTGTCTGGTTACAACTACATGTCTGTTCGTCCACCCATTGTAAAGCGCTGCGGAATTTGACGGCGCTCTATAAATATCATAATAATAATAATAATAATAATTACAGACCATTCAGAGAGAACTGTTTTAGCACTCTCTGCAGGGTCCTAGTGCATAGAGCTGCAGTGTCCAACATACGGACCATGGGCTAAATGGCCCGCAGAAAATCGAGATGCGACCCGTAGGCCCCGGTGCAATAATAAAGCAGAACAGGCGGCCCCCTTAGGGTGCACCTGCCTGGAGGGCGCACCCTCTGGGTGACAGTCAGGAGTGAAGTAGACTGCACAGCGCTTCCCTCCTGCCGGTCACTGCATGTAGCATGGCTGAGCTGCAGACCGCGGTAGAGAAGCTTCTGAATCCCACTGAGTACCGAGCTGCTTCCTGGCAGACAGGGGAGAAGGAAATAGGAGCTTCTCAACCGTGGTCAGCTGCTTGGCCACGCTTCATGAAAGGAGGGAGGTGAGCTAGCACTTTCACCTGTGTAGCCAAAAATCCTTGCATTGGCCCTGCACGTGTCAGTTAAACATGAAGCAGCTTCGGGTATACAAAGCGCCACAGAGAGTGTAGTGTGCACAATCCCTCCTCTACCCTGTGTGTGATGTCATGCGCAGGGGTAAGAGGGAAGGAAGACAGAAGTGCACCCGGTATTAACATGGATTACACAGCTAAAAAGCAGACATTGCAACATGCAAAACCTCATTTCAGGGAGGTTGCTTCACCACCTATTGCGACCAGGGGCGTATTAGCCGCGAGGCAAACAAGGCATTTGCCTTGGGCGGCATTTTCCAGGGGGCGGCAAAAAACGCCGCCCCCAAATGCCCAGGCAAATACCTTGTTAGCTTCGCAGCTAACAGACATGCCGCTCAGAGGAAGAGCTTCCTCGCCAGCCGCCCGCCCAGCCCAGCAGCCCGCACGGCATGTCTGTTAGCTGCGAAGCTAACAAGGTATTTGCCTGGGCATTTGGGGGCGGCGTTTTTTGCCACCCCCTGGAAAATGCCGCCCAAGGCAAATGCCTTGTTTGCCTCGCGGCTAATACGCCCCTGGGCGCAATAGGTGGTGAAGCAACCTCCCTGAAATGAGGTTTTGCATGTTGCAATGTCTGCTTTTTAGCTGTGTAATCCATGTTAATACCGGGTGCGCTTCTGTCTTCCTTCCCTCTTACCCCTGCGCATGACATCACACACAGGGTAGAGGAGGGATTGTGCACACTACACTCTCTGTGGCGCTTTGTATACCCGAAGCTGCTTCATGTTTAACTGACACGTGCAGGGCCAATGCAAGGATTTTTGGCTACACAGCTCAGAGGAAGAGCTCCCTCGCCAGCCGCCCGCCCAGCCCAGCAGCCACTGGACCACCAGGGAGAGAGGGAAGTCTGACTGTGTGAGTGTGAGTGTGTCTGCTAGTGTGTGTGTCTGCTAGTGAGTGAGTGTGTGTCTGTTAGTGTGTGTGTCTGACTGTGTTTGTCTGTTAGTGTGTATGTGTGTGTCTGACTGTGTGTCAGTGAGTGTGTGTGTGTCTGCTAGTGAGTGTGTGTTTGCCTGTGAGTGTGTGTGTCAGTGAGTGTGTGTCTGTTAGTGAGTGTGACTGTTAGTGTGTGTGTGTGTTTCTGTTAGCGAGTGTATGTGTATCTGTCAGTGAATGTGTGTGTGTGTATTTAGAAGGCGGGGCGGGGGGAAGGGTTGGGGGGGGCGCCTGAGTTTTGTCCTGCCTTGGGCAGCACAAAACCAGGATACACCACTGATTGCGCCCCACACCTCACTAGACACCGAACATGTATGAACAAGGACAGGACATTTTATTATGACAGAACACAACTATTTAACAACATATTGCAACTATTTACATACACTATTAACACACCGACACATGCACACACTTTGACACACAGATACACACATTGGCATATACTGACACACCGATATACACACACACTGGCACACAGATACAATCATGTATTTTTTTTTTATTTGTAGCCACCCTCCTGTTAACATACCCTTTGTGTTCAGGAGGGTGGTTTGCTTGGGGTCATGGTGATGCGGGCTGGGGCTAACGGGAGCGAGCATGCAGCAGCTTACTCCAGCCTCTCCTCAAACAGTCTTGGGACAGCCTATAATCTACAGTCCAGCTGAAGTAGCATGGCAGTTTAAAACATAATGTACAACTGTCTAACATCTAATACTAGCAGACATTAGAGGGCTGATGTTTAAAGACAACTTAGAATTGAGCGACTTTAAGACTAAGGGGATGGTTAGGGCAGCTTACCTTCAATATGGTGTGACTGCAACTCCCATGCCTTCTTAGGATATGACATGCTTGTCTGTGGGTAATAGAAGTTACAGTCCTCAGGATCTTAAAGGCAGGTATCCCAAGCCACCTAACCCAACATTACCAACTTCTAAATCTAAAGCAAATTGTAAGTTGCTGTACCTCACATTACAGGGTTAACAAATAAACCCATTAACCCCATGTGAGGTAAAGACAATGCCTCCTTACTATCCCCTGACAAAGCTACACCAGCCTCCTCCCTGATAGAATAGGAAGCCTCTGTGGTGCAGCTACAAATAAACAAAAATAAGACTCAGACTCCCACCACTCCTGAGCGGCAGAATTGACCATAGTACACATCAGAACCAATACATACCATAAAAACCAAAGAAAATAGTTACTCACGCACTATCCCAATTCCCTATGCATATTTAAATAACTGGATTTTTTAGTATTACACCAATGGCCATTGAAGTGTAAGTGCCACGTCAAGTCAAACCTCTTAGGTACGTCCTACACTAACAATTTCCCTTACTTACTTCAGCTTAAGGCAAATAAATCTCTGAGAGAGAGGGCATTTTTCTTGTGGTAGAGCTGCCTCCAACTTCCTCCTCCCATCAACCCTCCCTCGCGGCTCTCTATGAAGCTGGGAGGAAGTGATCGACTGTCACTTCCTCCCTGCCAGCCGAAATCACAGGGGCCCGGTCAGGCACTCAAAGGGGCGTGGCACCCGACCGGGCCTCTTATCAGTAATAAACAAATAATACCCATCGGGTGGCTGCAAATTATATACAATATCCTGGAAATCACACACACAATCTGATATTCATTGTGTGATTTGCAGGATACTGTATATGATTTGCGGGTGTCAGTGAGCTGCTAAGAAAATGCGGTTGTCTCCTGAAACTACCGGGAGACTTGGGATGTCTGAAAAGACCATATTTTATCTGCGCACACCAACATTTCTGATGAATAGGCCCACTGCAGAAAAAACTTGAACAGCTCTGCCCTCAAGTATTGCGCAAGCATGTTTAATGCAACATTCGTTGGGCACAAACTTGGGATGGCAGGACAGGACACTGAAATCAGTACTGTCCTGCTAAAATCGTGACTATTGGGAGGCTTGCTCAAAGACAGTAAGCACACTGTGCACTACAGGATTTAGCTCATTGGCGCTAATGGAAATTACTTGCAGGGGCTTCCAACTCTAGAGGAAGCGGTGCACCCAAGGGACCCAGGTAAGCTGTTTGACTTACTGGGAGAGGGTTGCCAGGGCACTCCTGGCACCATGACCACTACAGAGGGGCGTTAAATGTTTCAATTCACTGATCACCTTTGCTGTGTTTTCTGTGTTGAATACAGGTAGTTTACCATTATTAGCCAGCATTGTAAATGATGTAAAATTTATTGATTGTAAAATAAATAAAAAATATGTTAAAGTTGCAATTCAAGTTTACAACGCACTACGCCACCCCTGAACATAAAAAGCCGAAATAGATTAGTTTCAAATAACGGCGGCGTTTTAAATACAAAAAAGTTTAACCCCTTAAGGACCAAACTTCTGGAATAAAAGGGAATCATGACATGTCACACATGTCATGTGTCCTTAAGGGGTTAATCCACTCTGTACAGACTCTCTGATAAAACCACTTCTTCAGGCAGAGAATCTTATTGTCCTATGCAATAATCACTTAGGGCCATTAGGTAAGGAAGAAGCCAAATTAAATGTATCTTTTTTTTTAAATCATCCTAATGGAATTTAATAGAATTTAGCTGAGATTGTTTTCGGGGGCAGTTAATTGCTGGTTTTGCAAATTTAGAACATTTTCTATGATTCCTGGGGCACTGTTGATTTTGTTCAGTACTTATGGATGCCATTTTTTAAAAAAATTTTTAAAGCATCTTTTAAAGGGGTTAAAAAAAACCAAACCAACAACACAGTCACGCATGCGCGTTCCAGAACCAAGTCTAACATGGAACGACCCAGCCAACACGTTCCAGAGCGGCTTGGCTACTGCGCACGCGCGAAGCTGGGCGGCTCCCAGCGAGTCCCAGCATAGCACGCCGCCAGCGTGGGAGGAAAGAGTGCGTCGGCGCGGCGACGATGACGTCACGCGCGACGCGCAGCCTCAGTGAGTTTGTTGGGTGTCGCGGGAGAGAGTGAGAAGATGGCGGCTGCGGTGGAGAAGATGTGAGTTGTGAAGAGTATGGGGGGGGTAGTGGGTTCAAGGAGTGCCGCACTGGCTGCTGGAAGAGTGTCAGCCTATGGGCCGGTGTGAGGAAAGCCCTGATAGAAAGCAATGGGGGGGATAGTGATGGAGTGGGTAGTTTAACATGCTGCTGATGGGTAGGACAAGGAAGGGACAAGGTATGAAGTAGCCAAGAGGAGAGGCTGAGAGCAATGGGATGGGTCCACAAGGAGCCTATAGACCCTGTATCAGGGGCATGTAGGCCTAACAGGCAGCCTTAAACTACTCAGTAGCATTTTATTGTGGTAGAGCTGGTCTAGGTCCACATATTTCCTATTCCAATATTTTAATATTTATTTCATGTTTATATGTTTAGTTTGTATTGCCTACATTCTGTTCCCTAACTCTATTTACTCTCCTATAAAAGGTATTTCTGCTTTTGTCTAGTCCTAGTAAAATAAGCTAAAATTGTAGTTACATTTTTATAAAAAAAATGTTTTTTTGTTTTTTTTAAAGGAACACTTCAAGTACCATAACTGCCACAGCTCGCTGTAATAGTGAGTTTAAATTAAACCGTTACTCCATGCACATTACGATTTTGGTGATTTGAAGCGTTCCTGGTGTCTGGAGGCTGCCTGTGCAGCGTGTAGCTATGAAACGTTGCATATCCTGAGATTAACATGTTGGCTGCCAGATATATAACAAATTTGTGGGCTGGCTTATATCAGTTATGTTCATGCACTGCACTCCTCAGTTATGCTATTGTTTTTCTTGTGGCGGAAGGGGTTCTGATCACAGAAAGCGTTACTGCAACTAGCACCAGTGTTTTATGCAAACACTGATTTCCGGTTACAGCAGTAACCCTCCCGGCTCTGTTATCCCCGCCCCTCACAAAAAAGTCTTACATAAAGAGTAGTATTCATGAAATGTTCACATTGAATGTGTCTGCACTTTCCCCTGGTAATATAAACCTTTTAGGTACTGTTTGACATACAGAAAATTTGTCGGCTTCAAAGGACTATCCACATCAACAACCTGCATTTCAGAGGGCAAGAGGCTCATCCTTTGAATTGCAAGATTCTGCCCTTTTAAACCAGGGAACTCTTGCCCAGCTGGATGGTTTGGGGATGGTGGTTATTGCAGTAGCAAATGGTCCCCACCACCCCCACAAATTTATCTTGAATACATGTATTTTCAGAATGCGTGTTTGCAATAGAATTGAAAGTGACAGTCAATATTTCCTTGCTATTTTTGTAGTCTGTCCACAAGTTCATCCCTATCCTGCTTTGACTTTTTACGTTTGGCAGAATCTTGGGAAATGAGTTTTGAGAGTACACCAGCCATGTGTTTTTATAACAATTATCCTTTTGTTCTCTCACTCAGCCTTGGGGAGCAGTATTACAGAGATGCTATGGAACAGTGCCACAATTACAATGCTCGCTTATGTGCAGAGCGCAGTGTTCGCATGCCCTTCCTGGACTCACAGACTGGAGTTGCTCAGAGCAACTGTTACATTTGGATGGAGAAACGGCATCGAGGTCCAGGTACACCAAACACATGTTTCAGTTAATACAAAACAATATACACCTCCTTTTTGGAGGGGTGTGTATTCAAACGAGTGCTAAAGTGAATAAACCGCACTCTGTACCCTTGTGTGGAATACCCTATCATCCACACCCAAAATACAAAATCTATAGAGTGGTATAAGTAAAACCTACATCTTAAGTAGAGCACTAAAATAGCTATGCAGATGGGGTTAAAATTACCCAATGTTACCTTGTTAAAAACTTTGACTTGTGGTACATATAAAAGATAAAATTAGATACAATATGGTGCAGATGGTATAAAGAAATGGATAGAATAAATGGTAGAGAAGTAAAGGCATGTGAAGGAGCCTTTAAATATATACTGGCTCTGTAACTGGGCTTTTATTTGTGTAGTAATGGACGTCCTTTCTGTTTTGTATGTATGCTGACTCTCCCCTTCAATTTCCCATTGCCAGAAAGGGGTGCTACACCTAGCAATGGGAAATTAAAGGAGAGTTTATGGTTTTTAGTTCGCAATAGATTAAAAATGGAAAATAAAGAGACATAGTAAGAAAAGAGACGATTGGAAAATGTTGACTATGGCATGACTGTGATGCTTTAAGATTACATTCCAAACACCTAAAGGCATGAATGTGTCCTGTTTTTTTTGTTTTTTGTTTCCCTGCTCCATTCTACAAAAAGTGAAGATTTCAATAGATACGTGTTGCACCTTCATAGCTGTCAAGCAGACAACTGCGGTCCTGTTACTTCCTTGTAGTTTAGCTCAGTGGAGCTGAATTGGAGGGAAACAAGAGCCCAGAGCACCTGCCTTGCAAAGATTTCTCAATGTGCTACATTGATAAGTCTGTGATTAGAAAGGTACAGAAAGTCTGCACTGGGGAAGAAGGGAGATGGTTTGCAATGGCTGCAGATAAGAGATCTGCAACTTTTGCAAGCTATTTTAGCTATACCGCCAGTGAAAACAAAATGCATAATTGACCCAGGACATACTTGAAAACAAGAAAAATCTCAATGTATCCTTCCTGGTAAAATATTTTATAAATAATTAAATGCATGCACATTTCTTTATGGGTATCTCTACTGAACAGTCCCTTTAAAACCAGCACAGTACGTTTTGACATAATTAAAAAATCATGTTTCAGTAGTGATTTTACTATGGTTACATCACAAGTGATTATTTTGTAATTCACATTATATTTATAATACCTTAGACGACTGACACCACGACTTGTGGTGGGTTTTTTTTTTTTAAATATACTTAAAAGACAAAATAATACATACAGTATGAATATATAGTAGGGTACAGATCAGCAACTATGGGGAAAACATGAACAGAAGATGGGAAAAAGGAGAGGAGGACTAGGGTACCATTGAGATATAGCGAGGAAGGTGACCTTAATCAAAAGGCACCACATGAAAGCCACACATAATAATGAAGCAAATCAATTGGAATTAAAAGTTAACCAAGGATTCCATATCTTTTGAAATGTACCAGTTAAGGTAGAATTCTTAACTATCACAGTTAATGTGTCAATTGGATAATTATCCTTTATTTTATATAGTGTCCCTGTGTCAAAATTCCTGCTAGCAACCAATGGCCCATAAGTGATTTCTCAAGTCTTTAAAGATGTAAATGATTCAAGTGTCTCCCCTGCAATTAGTTGGTAGGCCTAATGTAACTACCTGCATGTAGATAGCAACCCTATTTATTATGTTCTCTGTATTTAAGGTACTGCACCAGGGCAACTTTACACCTACCCTTCTCGACGCTGGCGTAAAAAGAGGAGAGCGCACCCTCCTGAGGATCCCAGGCTCTCGTTTCCTTCTCTCAAACCCGGTAATGTGACTAATAACGGTTTGTGGTGCTTACAAATATATGCTTTTTAGAATAAGCTAATTACAGACCACTAGCCTGGAGTTAGATGACTTGTAATAAAGAATATGATATTTTGATTCCTTTTTAGCTATAACGTTTTTACAATTATTTTACTTTGTATCCATGTGCGGTCCCTAGGGGCTTTCAAATTTACTAACAGGAATCCATAACAGGTCAGGACATGACATCTTTCAGCTGAAATACAGACAAATGACAGTTTTATTGACAGTTGTATCTAAACAAAGGCTATTAGACTTGTTAAAGGTTTCATAAAGAATCTGTATTATTGACTTTGCCATTAAGATTTGTATTTATTAAATTTTGTAGATCCAGAACAGATCCTGAAAAAGGAAGGTCTAATACCACAGGACGGTAGCAGCTTAGAAGCTTTGCTTCGATCAGACACCATTGAGAAGAGAGTTGTGCCGGACCCTCGTGATGATGACAGCCTTACTGAATTCCCTCCTGTTGCCAGCCGCGCACGGAAGGTACAGGCCTACAGCACAAGACAGCGTTACGTAGCGAGCGGGATTATCACGGTAAAGACAGTGAGGCCACACACAGCCTGGGGGGAGAAGGAGCTGCGGTCCCGTGTCCTTTACAGGGCATATTATAGTTTTGTGTAAAATTAATGTACTCATACATATGTATATTGGTGCTTTATAGAATATAAACTTTACTAATATTTTTCTCTTCGGTATTCTACACACTACTTTTGTAGAATCGTAAAATCTTCAATCATAGTAATTTCAAGGATTTTAAACTAAATGTGGGGGCTCTAAAGGATGGCCTGATGCACCATTTACCTGTTGGATAAATGGTTTAGAATTTTTTAGAACAATTCTCCTGTTAATTTTTTTTTTTTTGGGGTCTGAAGGAGTACATTTACAACCTGTGGTCACACAGTACTGGCCCAGCCAAGAATAAAAAAACAAAAAACTGTTTTACCTCCCTCTATATTAAATTTAATTGCATATGCCAGAGGTGCACAGATGTGCAGCTCTTTGTTGTGGTTACCAAGACATGGGATGTACTTAGAATAATGTATAAAGATAACCTCTTTAGTAAAGAAAATGCATTTACTCTGTTATTGATCCTAAAACTGTTAGGCCAGGATAGTGGGGCGCATCTTAGTTTTAGGCATTTACACAAATAAAGTTGTGTTACATGTATACCAGTGCCTCAAATGGCAGTCAGTATTGTGTATATGCATGTGCATAGAGGTTTGCGATAGTTTGTGTGTTAAAAAAAATAAAAAAATAATAATTTTTTTTTTCCATACATAATGCTTGTGACCCAGGCAGTCTGGTGTATCTGAGACACACAGAAATTTAAGGGAACATAGCATAGGCCTAAACATCAGTTATTGGATATGTTTTTCCTGGAGTGCACTAATCACTTTAAAAAGTCACATCATCTGGTATTGTCAGAGACGTCAACAGTTGCTTCATTATCATTAACAGGGCAGTAGTGGCTGATGTGGCTCAACTGTTGTGGATTAGCTTTACTATTCACTGTCTTTTTTGAACAATATTCCAGGTGTGGCTGGCTAAAGGTCATCTGTCAATACAACAGTGACTGTACATTTATATATTTGCATTTGACAACATATTTAGTTCCCAACGAAGGCGCCAGCTTGTGCCTAAACTTGCGTTGAACTACAGTTTCTTGTATTATTTTTCTCACACAATTATGGGGGTGATGTGAGTGTTACGATTTGGAGGTGGAATTGAGTGGGAAAGATTAGGGTATTACTTTAGCTTAACTGTTTTGCTATGGACTAGGCATTATATGTAGAGACTGATACCCCCAAGACATTCAACAGTGATTAATCTCAACCGTGCAGCCTTAAATTTCTCTATCCTATTATGTATATATCAAGAGACCCTAAACATCTCAATTATTTCCTTATTTATTTTTGTAATAAAGTGTGGCACACATTTACTTCATACACCACTTTTTTATTTTTTATTTTTGTTCTTGATGGTTTTAAAGATCTTTTTTAATTAGGCAATTTTTCTTTTTTTTCGTTTTTGTTTGCACATGACTTTGTGAAATATGACGTAAACGTCTCATACATTATCCTAAGCTGTATTCTTGGCAAGCATTAGTATCTGTATACGTAGAATTAATTTTCCAGGTATTCAATGCGTTGAAATGCAGATATATGGGTCATGGCTGTAAGAAGAACTGAGATCGAGCCAAACTGTTAACTGGTACACTAGAAAACGGGGGGGGTAACTCCAAATAGGAAACTAATATGAATAGGCAAAGAGTAGTGTATCATTAGGGACTGGGATATGTAATATACCCTAAGAGTACCAGCTAACTTCAGGAAAGAACCATAAAATAGCCTCCAGACTAGGAACAAAAGAAGAGACAATAAAAGAAATAATGCATTTTATTAAATATAATATAAAACAATAATGTACTATAAGGTGCTCGTGTACAAAAAGTGAATGAACTAACAGGTTTTAGATGGATAAAGTAATGATGTAACGTAAAAAAATGCTATTTCAGCATACGAGTTAATCTCGTAATCTCAAATTAGCCTATTCTACAATAATATTAGGCTACCTCTTATAGTGGTATAAGGATGAATAGGAATAGCAATATACTGATGTTCCATTGAAACTGGTTGAAGTAAATATGCTAGGTAACAGAAGAACCTGTTACGGGGTCATGGTAAGTAATGGAACAAAACCTGATATTAATATTGCCTAGCATACGTCTGTGCCAGGGTATATATCTCAGTTAAATACGGCAAGTGGGAAAGATAACATAGCAATAGAAATTTGGGGGGAGGGGAGAATAAGAGGCAGATCCCCCATTAAACTCAGATAATATACCCCAATCACGACCTATAGTTTTAATATAGCCAATTGTAGATGTTATAATAGTGCTATTTTAATGGAATGATGGGTACTCCGATCCTCCTAACTTAGGTGATCACAGTAAGAACTGTTGTGCCTGAGCCGGCTTCTATCACTATAACAACTCTCGAAATCAGGTTCGTTGAAGTGATTAGCCAATAGTTTCTTAAATTGGTTCCATGCTTGGTGGCTATCTGATTGCTCTGCTATGAAGCAATTCTCTGCTACAGTGTCTTCCTATTGACACACTAACATTTTTACCTCTGTCCATTTAGCGCATTCTGGAACCTGATGACTTCTTGGATGACCTGGACGATGAAGATTATGAAGAAGATACGCCAAAAAGACGTGGAAAAGGCAAAGCAAAGGTGAGGTGTGAAGTGTGGTTGATTTAATAATGTACTACGGAACTCAGAGGTAAGTAATAGGGCATTTCACTTTTAAACTAGGCTATATTTCTTCTATGACATTCACAGAAAATGAAAACCCTATAAATGTTCATCTAGTTCTACCAGTATTTTCTTGTGCTTGTGGGAATACACGGTCATGAATTAATTGTCTAATTAAACAAGTTCAAATGTATGCAGTCCTGAGGGTTAGGAAAAAATCTTACCTTGAAAATTCTATGCACTAAAACCACTTGTCAATCAATAATGTTGACCGAAGTCCTTTAGCAGTTTTTTTGGCTAAAAGAGTCATTTTTGAAGCATTACTCTATATTTTGCTGCCAGTGATAGACAGCCCATACATTCTCATCCTATCACTGATGCTTGAGTAGCTTCTTCTCATTTTACAGAGAGCAGAGGCGATGAAACCAGACAGGCACCTGGGGGACTCCACTACAGTGTTAAAATGTTAAAAAATGGTTTAACACTTGTAGGTAAGAAGGCCCCAGGAACTCTAGAAACCATAACAACCTCATTGACACAAAGTGTTTTTGGTGGCTGGGGTGTTCCTCTTTATGTATCTAGCTTCACATCCGCTACCAGCTCTTCAGATGTGAATATACAAAATCTTTCCACCGGTTTAAAAGCCGCTTCTTATAATGTATGAATTGATAACACTTTTTGGTGCATTGTTCTAAAAATATCCTGTTCTAGAGGCATCCATGACATTATTATAATAATGCACTAAGTCATTAAGTCTCAAGGAGCTTTCTTTTTAGCAGTAAAAAAAACATACTGAAGCACTACTGATGTGATTTTTGCAGTCCAAGTGAAAGGAGAAAATCAGTGTGCTGTCTTTAAAGCTGGGTAGTCACATACTTTCTCTCACGCCAGTAAATACATTTGGAGAGTTTCCTGCGGTCAGCAATGCAGCAGAGGTGAAAAACAAAACACACCTCCTTGGTCCTTCCATCTTCAGGGTGAAGTGTTTGCCCCATGCTTACATACCTGAATAGAGATTCCATTCGAGTGCATGCATGTTTGAGCATATTGTTCCATTTGTGGCTTACATTCATTTGCATGAAGGTAAACCTCAAATGCTCCCCAATCACTCACCGCTCATCAACTGGGAGTGTATCTACAGCAAAACCTTTACACCGGTGAGTGACGTTTTTAATTTTTTGAGCAGTGAGAAGTGCAGATTTGTACTTGGAATCGGTGTATGACCTCTAGCTTTTCTTCATCATGCAAGAACAGTGAGTGCTATTTGCCAGCCAGATCCCTCTGTCTACTTTATTCGGTAACATGCGGGTTCTGGTCCAAAAAAAAAAAAAAAAACAGTATCCATCTCAAAAAGCTCATTTCCACTTTAGCCCCCTCTTGGCTGCATTTTAAATCTGATTTGTTTACGAGAATGTTTACTCTCATTTGACTTACTCTGCATCACAATGTAAATTAAGAAAGCACTTTGGAGCCTCTGGCACATTTTTCTTCTGTTCTAAATAATTCTTTTGATTTCAGGGAAAAGGTATAGGCAGTGCCAGGAAAAAGTTGGATGCAGCTGCTTTGGATGACAGAGATAAACCATACGCTTGTGACAGTAAGACTTGTATTCCTCACTTCAATACTATTTATTCATTATTGCTCATACATTTCAGACTTCCCAGAAATATATATTACTCTTTAAAGATGCCTTTTGAAACCTTTTCCTATTGTAATGACACATTTTATCAACAAGGACTAGAGAGCTCTAAAGGAGTCTTCTAGAGCAGTGACTGCTAACTTTTGGCACTCATTTATTTTGTAGGTTATGATTCTCATCCAGTCCTCTAGCATTATAGCGAGAGCTAAATGTTAGCATGTCCATCTATGTCACCTGTAGATAATTTTTGTAATTCTCTGCCAGCCTAATGACTTAGAGTTGTAGTCATCAACTCTTCGTTAGCCGTCACTGTTCAAGACCTATGGTTTAGTAGAACATGCATGATTACTTATATTTTAGCCAGTGTCTAGGTAGATACATAGGTATATCTCGTACTTTGTGCTGAAACTACATTACATACGTAGAATTACGTGTGCGTGCCTGTGGTTGTATGCGCTTATACAAGTAAACCAGAATACCACCTCAATCACAAGAAAATATATGGTGACTTCTATATTCTCAGTATGATTTTCTGAAAACAGGTGTACATGCTTGCAATTTTGATTACGTGAGTTGGCGTATGGTAAAGTTAGCATCTACTCTCTTAGAGATTCACTTACATTTCCATCCAACAAGCTATTACTCTCCCTCTTTTTAAAATGCCTTTGAAGTAGGATATCCACGTGGTATTAAGAAAAGTGTTGTCTTGCAGTGTAACACTTTGGCTACTGAACTATTATTCTTTTAATCCCCCCAATATGAGCATTTGAGAGTAGTGGTGGTTTTCTCTTTTCTCCTGCGGCATTTCCTGTTCAGTGTAAACTTCTTGAGAAGGCAGTTGCTTGTTCCTTTCTTGTGTAACTTCACATATGTGCGGCTTGTAGACAGCCAATTATTATAATTAAGTGGGAATTTGGTGCGTGCTCAATTTTGGCAACATACTACTAAATAGTGCTAATAGAAAAGGAAAAAAAATGCATGCTAGTTTCTTTCCATTCTAAGTTGCCATGCCTTTAATGTAGCACTTGACTTATGCCCATTATTTAGCTCTGCACGGTAACTTAGAGATTGCACAGTGACATTATCAGTCACTCACATTGAAACAGTCCCCTCTATGAGACCTATAACTTAATAGCCATGATATGCATTTGAGATGCCTTGTTTTGAAGAAGGGGGAAAAAAAAGTCCGGAAATAGCTTCAATCTCGGATCTGTATAATCAACAAATATAGTGAAACAATTGCATTCAAAATGCTTTTGTGTGCTTGGCTTTGTGTGTTTATTTTTTATTTGATTTTGGTGTGATATGTATTTTTTTTAGAGGACGGAGGATGGTTGCTTCCAGCAGACTGATCCACTGTTCAACTACTACTGACATGGAAATAATAAGGGAAAATGTAACCTTCTCTGGAGCAGGGAATTTCCCATAATTTGAAAAAAATGCTTAAATGGTCAGGCAACATATATCACTACACATGCACTGGTGCTAAATTAGAATGTGGCAGGGGTATTGCAACATTCCAGAAACACCTGGGACGTAAGCACAATGCAAATTCAATGGCATATGTCCTGTCTCCCCTATGGACACTGCACTGCAGGGATCTCAAAGTATAGCTAGAAATAGGCACATGCTGTACATTCATTGCCTTTATGATACACTACATAACTAATAGAGTGCACCAAAGTTCAGTTCCTCAATAATTGCCTCTTCCACCATTGGGTCCAAAGCCCTGTCTGGCAATGGCATGTGGTGTAGCACCCATGTTTTTAACATAATTGATATATCTAGTGCAGAAGGGGACCCTCTGTTTTTAACTATATCTAAAGAAAGGGCTGTAATTTTCAAACCATATGAAAACCGTTACCTGGGCGACAGCACCTTGGGATTACTGGCATCATAACCCAGGACTACAGTGCACTGTAGAACATATGGTGCTAAGACTTCCCTTTTAAGTGCTTATTGTCGTATTTCCTTTTGAGCAGTCTTATTATACCATTTTTGTTGTTCTGCGCAAAACAAATATAAAGCTGCTTTATACATTAATATCTTACTTTTTCATTAGAAACTCATCACAAATGCTGTTTACATGTTTTTTCTCTCCCTAAAGCCAGTATTCACATGAAACACTGTAAATAACCATAGAAATGTGTGGTTATTTTTTTAAGAATATTCTGTTAAGCTCTGGTGAACGCAGCAGTCAGTTGAGTTCAAATAACTTGAGTTCTTTTCCTTTCTAAGTGGCTCTCAGGAGAATATTCTAGGAACCTTGCTCTAAACGGTTATTTACTATGCCAATACCTCTTTATAAATTTCAAATTTTATTTGTTTCCACTTTTCAGTTTTCCCAGCTTTGCTGGATATAATACACTGAATTGTGATTGACAGTTACTGATTGCACTGTCTCTTTATTCTTTTGGAAGGTAAAATCCTGCTTGATATACACACATACGAAAGAGAGGCAGATTTATTAAAAAAAATAATAAAAAAAAAAATTTAAAATCATGCATGTGTTAGGAGAGCCGCAGGAGAAGAGAAAGATCAACCATCTGGAATTGCAAAAAGGTCCAGTTGGACTTTATTAGAGCTTTAACCCCTTAAGGACACATGACATGTGTGACATGTCATGATTCCCTTTTATTCCAGAAGTTTGGTCCTTAAGGGGTTAAAAGAGTTTGGGGTCTCTTTAGCTGGTATTTTCCCCTTTGCTTCTGAACTAAATCTTCTAAATGTTCTACATATACTTCTAAAGTCCACAATAAGTCATATTCACTTTTGTTCTTGTTCCCAAGAATGAGTGGTTTCCAGCCCTTCCCCCCCCCCCCTTTTATATTGACTCATTTGTGAATTCAAGCTTTCCATTTGCACGTCTCCCTTAGAATGTGTGTGAAGTGTGTATGCATTGATTTTATTTTAAAGCTTGTATTTTGGACAAATGCATCCAGAAGTGTTGTTTGGTCAGTGTTTGTGGCTGGGTGCCCCGGGGATTGGTCTCTGCACATTTGGAGTCTGAGTGGTTAAATTCCTAGCTTTTGCTCACCTCTGTCAGAGGAGGGAGTGATCTCTTACTAAGGTTTGCAGTGTGTCCTTGTACTCACTGATCTTTTGCTTCACTTGGCGCTCTCTGCTCTGTATGTGTGGTTAGTCGACTCACTCCTATCTCTTTTTTTCTCTGTGTGTCTTTCTTTCTCTCCTCATTTCAGACAGTTACAAACCAAAGCAAACCTCGAAATTCTCCGAAAGAGGTAGTTGAATTGCTCGTTTGTGCAGCTAGATTGGCATCTTCTCCCCACTCTGCCCATCTTCCCCGGCACTGCAGCTTGGCATGCTATGTCTTTTTTGTCTCTCACACACCAATCCCCCTTAATGGTGGCATCCGTAAACTTGCGTCCATCTGTCCATTATTTTCCCATGTTATAAATGTTACTCGTCATGGCACATTGGCTTTTCATCATGAAACAAAGTGGTCATTGTGTTGACTCTTTATATGACTATAAGGTGTTCTACAAAGGAAGGAATGATGAAACTTAAGTATTCATAAACCTTCCTTTGTTCTGCATCTTATATTTTCATATAAGGTATTGTGGCCAATCATGGTAAAGATGATGTTGCTTCTGCACTTCTTTTTACAGATGCGTACCTCCTATTTTACTTCATATCTTTTTTCTTCCTCTTTCAGTAGATTTAAAAGATTAATAAACTAGAATCTTCTCTGAGTTGGTGAACCTATATGGTTTTCAAGGTCCTCTGATTTTACTTAATCTTCATGCGATCTGCAGAACATGCTTAATGAGTTGCTTGCATGTCCCTGCATTACAATTCAGTCCTTGTTGAATCAATTTTCAGTTAAAATCAACAGCAAGTTGGATAAACTTTAAAAATTGTATTTATATTTTATTCAAAATCAGTAATTCAATGTGGTGTTTAATAAAAAAAAAAAAAAAAACTTGCCTTCACTAACTAGTAAGATAAGTGCAAGGGGCATTCTGTGGGTAAATGGCACTCATGGTGTTACTTTTGGCAAATGTGGAATGCCTCTTGAACGGATATAATCTCAAGATGAACTTTTTTTTTTTTTAAAATAAGGAATATTAATGTTTAAAAATTATACCCATTGTATACAATGCTTATTTTTGAACAAACATCTGTAACTTAGAGAAAACGGTTTTACCTTTTCTGGGCAATGTTATTAAAGCAGTATTTTCCTCTTATCCTCAGTGCCACTGCCATTTCAGCACGTCTTGACATTTTTAAGCTAATTTTGGCTGCTAAAATCATAATTGTAATTGGATCTACAGCAAAAACAGATGTTAGGCTGAACTTGATGAACGCAAATCTCTTTTCAGCCTATGTAACACTTCTCTGAAAAATCAGACATAAAACAAGAATTTAAATCCTTAAACAGTAATATTCCTTTAAAACTTGGAATGGTTTCATCCCTAGATCAACGTGATATTGCCTGATCACATATTTCCAAATCATGATGGTCTCTTCTGTTCCATTTTCTATCACAAACGGCATCTAACTTTCTATGACCACTGCTGAAACTGAAAAGGAAATAAATCCTTTAGATGTAGTCGGTCCTCTTGGTTTCCATACTTCTTCCCATTTCATGTTAGTCTGATTTTACTGCCCTAAATATAAAGACAGACTATACCCCAAGCCAATCAAGTGTATGATGGAACAAACCATTTCAAATAGAACTACCATAGTCACCTTTTGGTGATACTTTATAAACAAAAGAATGAAAACCTTTGGTTTTGTTTTAAGTTTATATATATTTTAGTGTTTTTGTTTTTTTACATAACTCTACTTTCTTATATCAAACGCATTGAAAACTCTACATGAAGTTAAAGTAAATGGCTTCCACAAAAAAGGAGTGTATCTAGATTATGATTTGTTGTTTTACAACTCTTATAGATATATAAAATGAAGGGCAGACTTTTTTTTTTCATTTTAGTATATACATGGGGTGTAGTTGTCTTTATACTTTGAAAGAATCACCTTCAGTATGTAATTTTGTGCTGAACATTCTCTAATTTCTCCAGTTTTATTTTTTTGATCTAGATTAATGATTCATAAACCTTGTGACCGTTGGTGATCTGTGAGAACCACTCATCTAGATCATACTTGAATCGCTATGCACCCTTAAAGCAGCAGTCCATACATTACACTAAATATATTGTTTTTATAAATAATTTACCTGAATTGGGGATCGGTCCCTGTGCAGCTGCTAAGTGGTAACAAAATGATCACAGGACTGTACCAAATAGTCACAATAGAAAATGTCATTTAATTTATAATTTTTGTTTTCTATGACTTTTTGGTTGTTCTATTATAACTTATGAGGACTAAATATAGTTGCATATTCCAATATATAGAGGAGACACAGTGGCAGGAAGTGGGAGAGGATTGAGCATATGCATTTTGTGACATCCTACTCCAAACGGGATGCTAAACTAATGAAACATCTCTATCATTTTAATTTATCTTCTTTCTCTTTTATCTTTACCACTCTGAAAGAAATTTGTTGACCAAGATATTTTGCAACCGTGTTTACCTTAGTCACATGATTCAGTATTCCCATCTTTTGTTAATGAATGCTTCCTGCATTAACTTGCTTGATCACAAGATCATTCTTATAATGTGGCTTCAATTTGCCACTCTTCTATATACCAGGCAAAATTTTAAAGGTGTGCATTTGGGTAACAACACTTTTCATTAAAAAAAGCTAGATTAGTGGAACATTTTAACATTTTGAAAATGCCATGTTTAACTGAAGCTGGCTGTAGAATTGTAATATGCCATATTTACTATAATTCTCTGCCTGCTACATGTGAGGCTTAATGTGCATTGTCAGCTACATTTTTATATGAAGCTCCATTGATTATTACTGTTCTAGTGTATTGACAGAATCTTACTGGATCCATTTCAGATGATTAATCATGTAAAGTTTTACATTTTACAACACTGTACATAATGTTATGTATGAATTGGATTTTGCATTTGAATCTTTGCTTCTTATACACAAAACTTTTTTTATTTGAGTCCTTTTTTGTTTAGCCCGGAGAGACTATGTCAGAATTACTCTGCCGCTGTGTAAGCAGAAGTGGCAAGTCTTTTTCTTAATTTCCATGTCTCAAAGTAACATACCAACAAGCTAGGTGCCCGTATAATATGCCCAAGATATCCCCAGTTCAGGTAACAAGAAAAAAACCAAAAAACATATGGTGAGGAAGGGAGATTGAAACATCAAAGTGAAATTCTAACTACTGATCGATACCTGAATTGAAGGCAGAAACATTCACTATTGACTTTTATAGGTTGGCCATGTGTTTTAGTGTGGGTAGCTGCTACTGGGTCTTTGAGCTTCCAGCCCATAAATGATGGCCCCCGTTTTCAGTCATTCCCTTTTCCTCCCTAGGCTTTGCTTTTTACGTTGTGTATGCCTCCAGAGCTGGGGAGATAGTTTTGTTAGCTGTCCAGCTCTCACTTCCACTTCACTCACCCGCCTTCTCCCTTTCTGCTTTCCTATTCATTCAAATTACTCTTTCCTGCTCTTACCCTCTCTGCCCACCCTTTCTTGCCTTGCCCTATTTTTTTTTTTTTTTCCTCCCAGTCTGTGGAAAACGCTACAAAAATCGCCCTGGTCTGAGCTATCACTATGCACACTCCCATTTGGCGGACGAGGAGGGAGCTGGAGCAGAGGACAAGGAAGATTCACAGCCACCCACTCCCGTCATGCATAGGCCAGAGGAGCAAAAATGTAAGTTCTCTCTGATCATATTTCACCAACATATACCCCTTTCTATTGCATAGTCTATATAATTTTATTTGTTTTGCCTCTTGATGCTTCCTTTTTGATTCTATTCTCTTGCTGCCTCTCTCATTCCTCTATATATACCTATGAATCTTATATTTCCATCTGCTCTTGTCTTTTTGTCTTAACACTTCCCCCCCCCCCCTTCTTTCTTCAGCTAAGAAGGGCCCGGATGGCCTTGCTTTGCCTAACAACTATTGTGACTTCTGTCTTGGAGATTCCAAGATCAACAAGAAGACCAATCAAGCTGAGGAGCTGGTGTCCTGCTCAGACTGCGGCCGTTCGGGTATGAAAGGCAGGGGAAAGAGGAAAGGGACATAATGATCAACTCTCAATGTCAAAGTCTATCTCTGTGTGAATTTGGGGACACTTTGTGATCATCCAGTTTTTGGGTATGTGAGATAAGGAGAAATGGTGAGCGGCATACACTGAGAACCCTTCACTGCAGGTTTAGTCACACCTTACTAGTAAAATCTCCTACTCTTCATCTGGGTGATGATGTCTCCATTCCCCATCTGCTGTGTTTCCCTTCTGTAGAGTAAGAAAATAATTTATGCGGATATTTGTAAAGAGGCTGTGATCAACCATATCAATTTCCATTTTAATAAGTGTGAGTGTGTGTACAAGTGATTCTGATGCTCAGCAGCCAGAAAAGCAGAAGTGACCAGTCCATGTGGTATGTATAGGATAAAAAAAAAACAGGACTTGTTTGTCACTCCTGTATTTCTTAGGCTAGTGATAGATACCTGTTTACATTAACATTTCTATATGACTTGAAGATATCTACATATGTCTAACATTGGGTGAACTTTCCACACTAGAAATATTCACCAAACTGGATTATGTTGCAAGTTCTCAACAAAGTTGTGAACATTTAAACTAATATGGCAGAGTTGGATTAATTTTTTGTTTTCTTTTAAATAAATCTAAATATTGCAACTCTGAGGCCATCTCACTCTTTCGAGAATTAATCCATTTGGTCTTTTCTGGATAGCGGCTTTTAAAACTGTTTGGGTATCTTCTCTTTTATCAGAGTTCTTGCTATCTTATATGTGTGTATATGTATGTATGTACGTATGTAGATATTATATAAAAAAAATTCAAAAAAATAATATAAAACGCGACATAATAAAACTTAAAAATCAATGTGTGCAGCATTTTAATAATGAGATGCAAACAAAAAGAACAATGTAAATAAATGTGAATTGCGGTCCCTCAAGGGATAGATTCCTGTATATTTCAATAAAACTCTCTACAAATTAACAAGGCCAGACTAATTCAGTTAAAAGAACACTCATGAAGAGTAAAGTGGATGTCAAGGAAAACATAAACTTTTGGAACATAACTCAACTGTAAATATAATCAAGTCACATTTGTAGGATAACCTTAGGAGGCTTTGGATTGTTAAGGCTATAGAGGAAATGTTACCCATTTTGCATTCCTTGGAGTACAAATGCCATCGTGGCCACATACTGACTGTGAATTATGTGAGATGTACACCAGCATCACTTGATTGTAACAGTGCCTGCTCTTGCCTGTTTGGTGTGCTCATATCTAGTTTAGTACGTCTGTAAGCCTGAATACTCTTGACCATAGGCTGCTTACTATGCACTGCACAGATATGCCATTGGCTGACTATTTGTTCTCTGCTCTTATAGTATAACAGGATAATGATTGGTGGGTTTCATTCCAATGTTTTTTTATTTAAAGACTCGCTGAACATCAATGCTTTCTGCATATAAGCTGTAAATAAAGTATGATGCTTAATTGCATTAAAGTGGAACATGTTCACTACTCTTAACTTGACATCATTTCTTGAATGATTGAGAGCATCTACAACCCTCCACTGGCACTTACACACTTTATTTCCAATGTACAAGTGATGCCCTCTTTATATAAACCAAAAAAGTTGTTCTCCAATTGTACATATAAGGGTCACCGTTCTCTTCAAGAGGCATTACATTTATAATAAATTGTGCAGTGGACATACTAACACACTCCGCCCAAAAAAGTTTGTAATGAATGAATGCTGCTGAAGTCTGGGATTGATACAGAAGTTACTGAGGAACATTCATATGGTGTCAATGGCAATGTTATAAGACATGTACAAAGTTATTTTAAAATGTTCACCTATACGAGTGTTTGCTCTGGAATTCAGATTGCATGATCAAGGTGAAACCATGAAGTGTTTGGAGGCCCTGCAGTGGGACGTTCTCATGTGTTGCCGCATTTAGCCTTGCTTTTTAGGCAGAATCGGGGACTACATGTTACAGTGAAAAGATCAGGTGTTATGCCAACCTCATATGCCAGTGAGCCAAAAATATACTTTAAAGCTCTCTCAAAGCATAGTTAATGGTACAAGGATGTCCACCACCCTGTCTCTCCATTCGCAACTATTTGTAACACCATCAGTTGGTCATTACCCCCGAAAATATTCTATTTCTCCTTGCCCTTCTGTAAGTCACCACGTACTCAAAACAGGCATTTTCACAGCTTACTCTGGGGAAGCCTGATCTGCATCTTTGCGATTGCATACTCCACTACCTTCACCGAACTAAATGGAGATGTTGGTAAAGTGATATCGGCTACAGTGCAAGTGATTTCTCTTATTCCGGTCAGTGCCAATTGTTGAGCTACATTTCCCACATACAACTGAGCAGGATTTTATGGCATATATGATATACTCGGCTTCCAAAAAAAAAAAAATCTGGGTTGGCTGAGTCGGTACCTGGTTTGGATAGAGCTTATTGCTGTGCCAGGAATCCTGGAACCGTAAAGGTGAATATCTTTTATTTATTTAGCATTTTAACACATTTTCTATAAAGTACATCTTTACTGCACTTCAGTATCCAAGGCAAACTTTACAATCCGTGTTTCTCTTGGCACTCACACTGTAGTATCTGATTATACTTTACAAGTGCATATTACTTTCTGTAGACATGCAAACTTGTAATATAATGGAAGTTAAATTAATTTGCATAGTATGCTTTGTGCAATGATTGGCATACATTGTAAATAAACAAATGCAGTTTTCTTGTTTTACAAAAAATAAGCACAACCCATAGCGAACATTAAGTTTCTAGTTTCCTTTAAAAAAAAAAAAAAAAAGGGGGTCCACTCCAGCTCGGAGTGTTTCTTTTAGAGTTATTGCAGAGATGTCTTTGCAAGAGTATAATGCTTTAAATCTGTTAAAAGTAGATCATCCTTGTTCAAAGGCAGTATATCTGTAACATGATACAGTTCCTGAGTGGAGAAAGAAAAGTAAAATCAATTACATGAAGATATTTATAAAATTCAAAAATTTCACGGTGGGTAGTTTTACATATATAGACATATACTCCCGTCTATACAGTCTCCAGACTCTATTCTGAGTCCCGCTCTCTCTTGCGGTCATAGGACACCCCTCCTGTTTGCAGTTCACACCGGTGATGATGGCTGCAGTGAAGACGTACCGTTGGCAGTGCATCGAGTGCAAGTGTTGTAACATTTGTGGGACCTCTGAAAACGATGTGAGTAAACTATTCCTCTACATATCATATATCCTTCCACTGATGACACAGTGCATACAATGCATGTTTAATGATGTGGAATATTGAGCAACAGGCAGCCTTCTTGTTCTTGAGCTCCATTTTGAAATAACATATAAACCTTATACGTTTAATATTTAATTACACAGACCAGATTGAGAAGATCATTGTTAAGGTCATCCACCACCACGTTCATTGACCAACGTTAGGGCACAATGTATGTTGTGCACCTCAATGCTAACTCATGAATCTCTAGAGCTGCTCTTATCCATTTGAATATTCCACCAGTGTATATAGCCCTTTATTTCTGAGTTATCCTTTTTGGTATCATGTTTCCATTTAAAGTGAATGCACCTAGAAAAGCCTATTCCACTTTGCTTTTTGTTTTGTCATTACATCACAGTGGTGACATTACAAGAAGATTATAAAACATGGATCATTGATTATACAAAACCTATTGCCCTCTTTACGGTTTTTGAATTAATTTTTTTCCCCATCCAATCTTTTATTTATTTTGTAATGGTGGGAAACGAAAGACATAGGATTCCTATGTGGTTTCTATAGGGTTGTTCACTAGTACCATGTCATTCTTGGCAGGGAGTAACAGAAAATACTAGATGGGATTATTGTAATACCATACTTCTGCTGCTCTATAAATTTCAAAGGATCAGTTGAGACATGAGAAAATAGAAAACTTTATTTGTCCAAAATTGAGAGTCCAATGCTATAAAATGAATCTGCAACAAGTGTTGTTGCATTAGCAGATGCAAATGTTGAATTTTCCCCACTACAGTCTGGTGGTCAGCCATCTTGTCTTGACTTTAAAATTCCTTTATCGTGATGTATATTGCTCCTTAGAGACTTTCATTGTATCTACTTTAAGTTGTTTCATCATAGTGCATGCTATTTTTATATCAAGTTGATGTTTGTGTAGTTCACCGTGAGCTTTTGGGGGACATGCATTGCATTGTTCTGGAATAATAGTTTAACTTCATCTGGGGCTTTGTGTTTGATTTGCTGTGACTTTTTTTATCTTCTAGAGCAGTGGTTTCCAAACCAGGCTTCTAGGTCCACCAACAGTGTATAGGATTCCTGCACTTCTCAATTCAGTTCTTTGGGAATACTGACAAAACCTGTATCCTTGGTGTGCCTTGAAGACTAGGCTGAGACATTCTGTTCTAGGCCAGTGATTTCCAACCTTGAGCTTCCAGCTGTTGTTGGAATGCATGGTTGGTCACCTCCGTTCTAGCAACATTCCCTCCCTCCCCCACTACCACCATTGTTCTAGAAGTGTTCTGAGCTCCGTGTTTCCATAGGATCAGTTGCTGTTCTGTGATGACTGTGACCGTGGATATCATATGTACTGTCTTTCTCCTCCAATGGATGAGCCTCCTGAAGGTGAGTTATCTGAATATGAAGTTTGCTGCATTGCTTGTTTCACTTGACAAATATTAACGTTCTCTTTTCGTTCTTTCCTTTAAGGGAGTTGGAGTTGTCATCTCTGTCTGGATCTTTTGAAGGACAAAGCTTCTATTTACCAGAATCAGAATTCCTGATGGGTGCCTGCATTCCTGCCAATGGTGAGGGATGGATCGAGGACGTAGTAGCACCTCACAGCCTATAGAAGAGAAATATTTAGGAAATGGAAAAGGAGTTTCCAATGGAGCAATCTCACTTCTCATGATGTACCAGTTGATATGTAAATGTATGTGTATACCAACTTATGAATTTGCACATGCATACACACGTGTGAATGGTCCCATCATTACATCACTATACATCTCACATCAACTCTTATGAGAATATGCATTAAGTTTTCTTAAATAGCCATTAGTGAGATTTCAGGTTTGTCTAGACCCCATATCTAAACCTGATGTAAGAAATTACTGTGTCGTCAAATATAGTCTTGAAAGGTCAGTCGAAGGAGAATAGTGATGGCTAAACTTCGCATCCCAAATGTTTGTGAAGTCAATTTCCCAGAATGCTCAGCCATCCTCCAACCCTTCAAGGCTGGCTGAGCAGCAAGAAATATATCTAGTTTGCAAACATCGGGGCTACCAAGCTTCGCCATCTCTAAGACAGAATGTTCTATGACAGCGTGTTCTCTTTCTGAGACCTGTTATTTTGCTCCAGTAAATAGTGGTCTGCAGCATATTTCTAATAAATCCTTAAGACTTATGGATATATCACAAAAATATATTCATTAGGGAGACTCCTAGAAAAGCATGATAATTACTTGTGACAATGTTGTGTTTTGATTTTTGCCAATGTGGATCAGATTATAACTGCTCACTAGTAAGAATGTGCAAGAGGAAAGTCGAGCTTTAATAAATTGCGAAAACGACCCTATAAAATAGACAATTCCAGTGTCCTGTTTATTTCACATTTCTAAATGGATAGTCTATATCGACACATTAACGTTCTAAATTAGTGTTTTAATTTATTTGCTAATGTGGGGAAAAAGGTGGCAAAAGGTACACTTCTTTATACTTACAAATTATGTGTCAATATAAACCCAATTGGAATATTTGTGTGCAGTTATCTCATTGGCGTCAAAACACTCCAGAATTCACACACAAAAACCAAACATCTGACTCATCCACAACATGCTGCTGTTTGAAGCCTAAAAATTCTTCTAGTAATTTCATAGTCATTCAGCAGTAAAATGTACTTTATTTTATTTTTTTACTGAACGTTTTTATGTAAGTGAATTTGCTTTTAAAATATGTCAGCATTCATTTTTTCCCAACATTTTTAGTAGCTAATTTTGGGACGTGTTTAAGTGATACTTAACCCTTTTAAGACAAATTATATAAATATATGCCATAAATGGAATCTCTCACAAATTAACGAATGCAGGTCAAATGCAAAATAAGAACATTTCATGGATTGGGTCTTTCAGGACCAGTATGCAATTCTTGAAGGTTAAAGGGGAACATCCCATTAAATATTATGTTTACTTAGTCCCTATATATATTTTTTTTTAACCAAATGTATTTGTGAGGTCTGGAAAAAATAAATGAATAAAATGTAGACAAGCACACTGCTGTATTTACCTCTATTCTGGAACTTCATATTGGCTACCTGTCACTTACTGTTGTAAGCTCCGTCCTTTGCACCTATCTGCATAGAGAGGACGAGCAACGTAGACAATGTTTATATATCACCAATGCAGTGTGAGCAATGGCTGTGCCTGTAAGGGACCTGAATTATGTCACTTGCTAAATCTTTAATAAACTTTTAAAAGAAAACAGATTACCAGATGAAAAAAGTGTAACACAATTTATAAGATTTTTAATGGTGTAATTGAGAGAAAAGTGACGGTTCCTCTTTCGTTTTTCCACATATCAAAATGTGCATTAATGTTCAGAGGTTGGATTCCTCTTAATTTACTGCAAACCTGTTCTCCCATTACAAACATTGACTTGCAGTCTTCTGCGTTTAGCTTAATGTTCCTTTTTAGTCGGGGCATGATATGATGTGTAATGCATACCTGGGAACTGAAGAATCATATAAGGAATCCAGGAGAACAAGGGTCAAGTACCTGCAAGTGTCTTCTTTAGATGTGTGTATGTATATGTATGTATATGTGTATATATGTATGTATATATGTATATACATACATACATACATACACACACACACAAGTTTGTAAAGACATTTCACCCACAGAGTTATTATGGTGGAGAAACCCACTTCAGATTTTAATCTAGATTAAGTTTAACTTTATTGAAAAATAAATGCAACGTTTCTAGGTTTCTGTATTTTGTTTCCACTACGCTGCTGGTTAGAAATCCTTAAATGAAAATTTAATCATAGCGGATTTATCTTTATTACTTAATATGGGAAGGTAGTGGGCAGAAAAGAAAGCGTAGAAAATCTCTGGATTTAAACCATTGCTCAGACCCCTATTTGCGGACATTTGTGGTTTTAAAAAAAAAAAAAAAGTTGAAGTCTTTGGAGCAACCTCAAAATATTGTGAAATATTAAGAACATTCTGCCATAGCATCTCATTTAACCATTTCAGCAACATAAGAAGACTGCTGTTTTTCTTGATTGTTGCCAATGTACCAACCAATGGTAAAGTCAGTCTCCATATCTCTGGTGTTCCTTGTGATTGAACCTCTGCTCACAGTAGCATTGTTAATGGCAATTCTTAGAATGTGGGATCCATGTAGAAGGGGCTATCAAGTTTGCCAGATTAGAATGCGTATTAAAAATGCATACAATGTGGCTGCAACAGAGCCAATGTTTAGGTTTTAGTGATCATTTTTTCCTGTTTTATAAAGGGTTTCTGGTAAATGTTTACACAAAGAAGTGGAAATACAGTGCAGCCTTCTTATTAAAGAAAAATGTGCTAAAATGTTACTATTTAAAAACCGCTCTGAAATCTAGAGAAAATGTATAAAACGTCTCATGCATTTAACACCATTCCAAAAAGTGTATTCTTTTTCTGTTAGATCTCTGATGGGGGGAAGGGGTTCAATTTCCCCCTCTGTATTTTTCAGATCCATCTTCCTCTTGCTACAGTTCATAGCCCATGATATGAGAGGTGCAAGGCATATTACTTCCCCTAACCCGAGTTGAGAAACCGCAATTGTAACTATATGTTCTGTCTTGGTATGGAAACGTTTACATATAAATGTAACAGATATGCAATATCCTGGCAGTTCCCCTTTGATTTTCCTTTGGAAAGTCAATTCTTCTATTGCTGTAAAGTTGCTTGTATCAGATGTCTGTCAGGCAATTGCTATAGCTTGTCCATCGTCACTGAATTCATGAAGATAAGGAGTCTCTTTCACTGGATAAACTCCAGTTCATTAGCAGTGTTATCAGACACAAAGGAAGAGTGCTGGGAACTTAATAATTCCACATATATATATATATATATAACTACTACTTTACCATGTTTGGTTAAAAAAAGAGCCATTGAATCTGACAAATGTTGTGTCCCTGCCATTCACACATTTGAGTATGGGGCAATATTCACCTTGAACACCTCTGAGTGTTGAGTGTCTCCATGGCAATAGAAGGGTGTAAGTGAAAGCATCTACTGGCTAACCCCTTAAGGACTTATGACCTTTCGTGTCGTCTTCCCAGTGGGGACTTTAAAGACCCTGTGACAGCAGTGTCTTGCTTGTTTAGCATTGCTGTCAATTAATGAGTGTGATATTCCATTTTGATAAATGGTCTACTAAGACTAGACTGTCTTGATTGAATGTTTATCATTGGTTATGTTGATTTGTGTCTCCTTTCTGGGCAGAATGTTCCCGCTTGCCAGCATTGTAGCAATTTTTTAAATATTTTTTTGTTATATAAAAGCCACTGCTGGCTCCCACGAGAAGGCTCACTAGTGTTTCCACCACCAAATATTAACATGCCACTAAGGTTTTTTGTGCTGCTTCGGGTTTTTTTTTTTTTTGTCACCTCGTCACCAATGCTAGGTCTCTGTCTCACCTTAATGAATAGATCTATATTACGGCACATCCACTTCTGCAGTATATACAAGACTGACCGGTCCACCTACCTCAATTCATTTACACTGCAGTTGTGTTAAAGTGACCTATCATGTACCACATAGGTTGTATTTTTCCCCCACCTCATTTGTGTGTGAGTGAAACTTTCTTTACATGTCATCAAAAGTTCAGGTGAGCAATAAAGAACACCACTTTGTGTGGTATGCATGTTCTGCGAAGAATAAATTGCTTGAAATTCAAAGTGAATTCTAAATCTACTTCAGTTTTTATGGCTAAAATACCTGAATGGGGTGGGGAGATCTCCAACTCAGTGATATTTTCATTTTGGCTATTTAGTCACTAATGTAAAAATTCACTTTGCATTTCTAAATCTTCATTAACATTGACTGTGTTGTTTAATAGGAATTAATCTGGTTCTAAAAGAGAACAAATCTACATTGAATCCTCTATCATCTTCAATGCTTAAGATGAAAAATATCAGAGGAATCCTTGATTTGGCTTGGAGTGTCTTTTAAGTTTTATTTGTTTTATGAGGGTGACATAGGAGCTGCCTCCTGTTTCCCGTTTCCGAAGTTGCTGCCCACGTCTCTGTAATAAGACAGGCTGGTGAACACAGAAAATTAAAAATAAATGGAATCAGTCTGGAATTTGTCTTTTACACCATCTTAAAATGTTTACATATTTCCTCTCTTGTTTTTCTCATTCTTTTGATCTATTTATAACCTCAAATCTTCCGGATCCTGTTACAATGCCTTTTTATATTTGTATCGTTTATTTTCCATGCTTTTCCCCATAGTGATTACAATTTTAATTTCCTGTCGTAGGAAGGCGGTGTTTTTATGACACTGTAAACACCATGTGGAGTAAAAGGTTTTGTCACATAAAGTGACAGATCTTGAGAGCCCTTTAAAAAAAAAAAAAAAAAGATATATATATATATATATATATATATATATTTTTTATTATTTTGTCTGTTCGAGTACTCTAGTATTATTGCAGAATATTCCTATAACTGGGGGATTTTTCTACTTCTGTTTGCAAGCAGGGTAGTCTGAGATGAGATACCATGCAATTTGTATCTTTTAATAATAGAGAGCTCATTTTAGGTTTCTCTGGCAAAGTAGAGGTTAAATCCCTCGGAGTAACACATTTACCATATATAGTCCTGGCCATGCAATGCATTGACCTACCACAAGAGGTCACACACCGCCTGTCATCTTTGTTGCTCAGAAACCTCCAGTGCCTGAGGCTCCTTGAAGCATCCTTTAACCCTTTGCTCAAATGAAACACTTCAGGTTGGAACTTGCTTACAGGGAACCAAGCTGTTTTGTGAATTTTTATGGGTGAGGTCAAATGATATTTCGTACATATAAGTCATAATATGGTTATGTATATATCCACTTTTTTTTTTTTTATATATATATATATATATATATATATATATATATATATATATATATATATATATATATGGAAAATGTATGCGATCTATTCTGTCAACAGTGAGTCATGGTGACGTGATGATCATCTCCAAGATACTGTTTTGGTCTACCATTGGTCACCTCAACATCAACTCACTGTTTAGAACCTAAACCCCTATGTATTTAATTCTCAGTTATACAGATTTATTGCAATATTTATAAAATACTTGTTAAGATTTAACTGTTTAGTAAATGGCAAGTTAGTGACTTGGTAAATAACTTGATTGGAGATTTTGGGCTTTTTTGTTCTCAAGTCGGCAACTTGCCCTTTAATGAAAAACATGATATATCAAGCATTGCATTTATATGACTATTTGGGTAATCTAAGGGCTTCAATTATGAAATAATGTTGTCACGGGTTAACTAAATAAATATAATTCGTTATGAAGGGATGTTCCACAACTATTTCCTAATGTTGGGAAAAATGTAAATGATGAAAAAGGCTTCATATGATGTATGTTTGCTTTTCTCTTTTTTTTTTTTATGATCATATATATTTTCTGTTAAAGTTATTTTATTTTTTATCGGAAACCATGAATTCACTGTGCTATATAAACTGTATAAAAAAAACAAAAAAAGTATATTTGGGGAGTATGATGCATATTTTTTTTTTTTTTAAATGAGTACTGTATTAAAACACTATCAGAAAATAAAGATTTTTACACACATCTCTGGGTGAAAAAGCATTTAGTTGTCATTTTTTGTTTTTTGCTTCCACCCCTCTTCTCTTAGACCTGTAATTTGTTTTTTTTTTATTCCAAACCTTAAATTGCTGGTTTTGTCATTATATAGGAAGTTAGCTTCCTATATAAAATAGAACTACAACTCGTATGATAAGACTAGCAAGGGATCATGGGAGTTCTACATCATTCAGTGATCTACCATTTAACCTTCCCTGCTATATTGCTGTATATATTATGCCTATTCTGATTATGACCACTCCAAACCATTAAGCACTTTAGCTTGCTGAAGTGTTTTGTGTGTGAATATTGTCCCTTTTTTCCCTTTATTTTACAAAAAGTGCACATTTCAACAGAAATTGAGACGTTTATAAATTAGTCTTGTTACATCTACCCCCAGCTTGGTCATCAATCAGATGACCAATCCTATTCCTGGGTTGGTTAGCTTATTTGCACTGAACTCAAGAGGCAGCAATTGCTCAGTGCCTTGCAAAGACTTCTCATTGAGCTGCATTGTGAAATATCTGATTAGAGATGTCGCGAAATTGTTCATTTAAATCTAAAAACAACTGTGTGTGAATCTCATACACAATTGAGGTGACGGGGAACTATATATGTTATATTGGTATAGTATGCTTGTATACAAATGTGTTGTAGGAGCAAGGTGGTGGTGATATGTATGGGATTAAAGTGATAGGTGTCAGAGTGGGGAGTATGTGCAAGTACGATAGTAGAATGACTGCTGTAAGTGTTGATCTAAAATGAAGCTGACCTGTTTCTTTTGGAGGAGAAGGACCCCATTGGGTTGTGTATTTAGTGTTGTGTTCTGAGAAGTGGTCTAAACTAAAAGTGGTGCAGTCACCATGGAAACCAGACGACTTGTTTTGCTGACTCCAGCATGTTTCCACATTTGCACCACTTGTTAGTAAAAGCACTTTTTATATATAATCCCTAATATTCATGTGATACAGCAGGATATTCCAGTATAGCTGATGCAGGAGCCGGGTTGCAAGTGTATCTTTGGTGAAAATGTGACAAGTGTACAAAACTAATATATTTATTTTAATATTAAAAGGTTTCTTCATTTGTTTTGATTACAGCCCCCACCTCTGTTTCTTTAAAAAAGTAAGCAAAACTCCATCAAACATATCGACTTTACTCAAGTGCTGGATAGACGTGCAAACATTCATAAATAAATTGACCAAATTGTACGACTCAAAATTCTTTTAATCCACACTCAAATCAATTTGCCTTCATTTACTGGATGAATCGATTCCTTCTGGCATGGATTAATAGGGTTTTGATTTGGACGGTTTGGTTTGTTTATGAGCTAACCAAATTTGTACACATTTAATGCCAGTACAATCTCTACGCTGGAGCTGCTTCATTTCCTATGAAGCCATCAGTTCTGATGTATTTTTTTTTCCAATAAATGGCTTCTCGTAAAGAAGCATTAGGGCCATGGGGTGTGTGCGTGGCAGGCGTCCTGCTTAGCCAATCGAATAAGTGTCAAGCTGTATATGATCACATTGAGCATGAAGACCTTTTATTTTTAAAGGTCTTTACCGAGGAAGCACCTCTAATGGAGGTCAGTGTGACAGCCACATGAGAAGTGTTCAATAATCATCATTGCCGTTTCTGAGTAATGGCAGTCTTTTTACATTGTTGGATAAAAAGAAACCGGCACTATGTGCAAAATAAACAACATTACGAAGAAGTAGTGTTGGTGCTTGGTGTCTCTAATCTCTGTGAATGAAGAAAAAGCTTGTGGATTGATCTTATGCCTTTTATACAGAATCAAGATGAAAAGCTAGATTTACACATCAGGTGCATGCAGGTACAAAATTCTAAAGTGCCCCCTGCTCCCCAACCCCAAAAGGCAGATAATGTAAGTATAATAAATGTATTAAATGGACATTCAAACAATCATATTTGACAACTGCACATGTATGTTTGTTTTCTGCTTGAAATGTTTTGTTTGAATCTATGAATATAGTGTGCATGCAGGGTTAAACATAATGTTATAGTGGTTAAGGTTAGAGAAGGGTTAATGTCAGAGTTAGATGACATAGGGTGTTAAGGAGATCGATGCAACATAATATAATAGAAAAAGTATGATCATCAAAGAAACACTTGCTCACTCTAAACCTCAATCACCATAGGGCAAATGCGTCAATCAGAAAACAAAGGCACACACCCACAATTTTTTTTTTTAATTCATACTAACATATATCATAAAGGAATTTATCAATACCAAAAACATGCAAAAAAAAAAAAAGTATGTACATTTCCTCAAGATGCAATGTAAGAAGATGGGGGCTGATATCAAAACAAAGATCCCCCAATGTTTAGGCTTCCTTGAGAAAAGCTTATAGCCGGGGGGGGCGGCCTTATATGGTTGTATTTGTCATTGTATTTTTGGTATAAGTGCAGACTTTTTTTTTCGTATTTCATTGGTATCATTTAGAAAATAATTTTATAATATATTTTAGTAAATGAAAAACATGTTTTCTAATTTCTAGTGTGAAGAAGATTAACAGCTTAAGAGGGGTTACAGTTGTAGTACATGTGCTGTTTAGGAGCTGGTTTAATTTAGTATTGGGGTACATGAGATGTTTAAGCATAGGACGAAGGCAAAGTGTTAATTTTCAGGTTTAGGCTTTGAGTGCTGGAGTTTGAAGGTTTATTTACAAATTACTCACCTTCCTATGTCTCTGCAGACCAGTCAGTTTCCTATGCTAGTGCTGACCCTGCTCCTCCTGCAAGTCACTTCCTTTGTGAGAGGTTACTAGTGGTCAGATAGGAAGTGATCCCTTCCACTTCCTGTCCAGCCTCACACACAGACACTGGAGGAGCTGGGACAGCACTGAGTTTTACACCCTCTATACCTGATCCTGCACCTCTGCTATCAAGCATTGGAGGCTGCCTGGACTACAGAGAATACAGGCTGAGATTCCTGGTACTGTATCTCTCCCACCAGCATTATTTAAGCTTAAATAGGCACATTATATGTGTTGAAAACAGGTGCCCCCCCTAGTGGTCAGGCAGGTGCCTACTCCAGCCCTATCAATATGCAAGAATTGCATATTACAGATACCGTCTGTGGGCGACCTTTCAGTATTTTTTGACAATGTCACATTTTAAAAGGAAAACCTAAATGATCCAGCTTTATTCCAGTCTATGAACTTCAGTATAATCACTACAAATGGGAGATTGTGTTATTTCTATTTGCTGCTGCAATGTACTCTGTTTTCCGTGCAATTTTTAAATGGTACCAACATTTTATTGGAGGGATGATGGAGTATGAAATAATGGTTTTCAATTATGCATAAAATGTTTTTATGACCGTTAATATATTTAAACCAATATTACTTTTAAAAAAATATATATAATTGATATATATATCACTTTTATATAACATGGCAAGACTTTTATGAATGAATTAAGAGATTTTATGTGTCATCTCAAATCATTGCAATTTCTATACTCTGCACATCCTAGAACACAGCTCAAATACTAAGAACATGTGTCTTTAGGGGCACTGCAGGGGAAAAAGGTTTAAGATTATTTTGTTTGTGGGCTCCATCTTTCTGGTATAGGTGAGTTAGTTGTTTGTCCTATCAAGTCTTGTTTGAAATGTAAAAAAATTATAGACGCAAATTACAGTTTCTTTGTTTTGATTACTGCCCCTACCATCACCCGTATCCCCCCCCCTTTTTTTTTTCTTTTCCCAGTACCAATATGCAGTCCCTGCAACTGCTCGATCTGCCTACCGCGACGTCATGCCGACTCTTCTCTTTCGTCCAATCCAATGTTCCTTCTAGAAGTGCATTGGGGAGGAAAAAGCTTGTGCACATTCATTTCTGTGCTCGTCCATTGAATTTGATGTTGGCTGTGAGAACTGAGATTGACTTGATTCTCACGGCTGCAGCACCTCTAGTCGCTGTCAAAAAAAAATAAAAAATAAGCCACTAGGATTTATTTGATCCTGCAACGTAAGCTTTGCTGTATCTACTGAACTGCAATTTTTTCACAGATTGCCCGATGTGCTTGTAACAGCAACTCTGGCGCAGAGTGACCGTGACATGGCCTGAAGTGCCACCTGTGCTTGTGACAATGCTACAGGCGCGAAGTGACAGCGTTTTTGAGACAGAGCTACAGGCACAAGTCTCGGTAGTTATTGTAATGACATGGTGATGGTGCATGAGGTAGCAGGCTGACAACTTTGGGTCTTTGAGTACTATGATTTCACTGTATAGAAAACCTTTAGCTGTTTCTTTGCCATGATCGCAGTGCATTTTACAGCCAAACTGGAACGTCTGAGTAAGTGATGACAGGTAACCTTGCTCGTAAGTGAGTGTTTTCAATGATGTCCTTTGCAGAAAACAATCCCCTCCCTGGGACCTTGGTTACCCACACACGCACTCAAACATGCATAGATCCGTGAGCAAACACTCATTCCCCTGTCCCGTGTGAAAACTGTGTTTCCTGACACCACCTCCCCATGCATTGTTTGCTAACTGAAGTAAGAAAGCGAGAGGTGCTAATTAGAGAGACAGCAGTGTACCTTCAAGGAGAAAAACACATTACATTATTACAGCAAAGTGTGCTTGCATGTTTTAGCATTGCTCCAAATAAAGGCATGATGAACGACTAACAGTGTATGCAAGAGATTAAAAAAAAACAACAACCACCATGTCTGAAGGGTAGAATGTCTATTTAGCTGTATATTAGCCAATTAAATTGTTCCTCTCTGGTCAATAAAATGGTTTCGTTTGTACTTTATTTTATTTTATTTTAAAGAAAAATTGCAAAAATTGTGATATGGGATAAAGTATGACTAATGATTTTGTTACACTTGAAGATTTGACTTTTGATTCCTTAGAATGCAAGCATATAAATCCACTGGCAAAGTGAGGTAACAAACCAAGATGTTTAAAGGGAAGTGTCTGCATAGCGTAATATTCTACATTTTGCATCTGGGACCTGGAAACAGTGCATAAGAAATATGTTTCTATAAAATCTGGTTTTACCCTACTTTTTGTGAGAAAAAAAGTTATATTTTTTTTTTACATGAGGTATCCAACCTTGGTCCTCCTCCTATTGTTGGACTAAAATTAACATACCCTTTGAAAGTGGCTTGGCAAGCTTTGGGTGTGGTTCATGTACAAATAAATTAGCCTTTTTGTGACTGAACCAACCCACGTTGTTCCTACACATGGGACTAGTATAGGAACATAAAAGTGTTCATTTTATATCTCACCTGATGTTCTTTGTGCATGGTTTGAAGTGCCTTAGAATTCTAACATATTACATTGAAAGTGTGTTTAAATATGCGCTCACATTGCATATTTTCTGGTGACCACTGAAGAGGGACAAAAGCGAAAATACAGCTCTGGGTTCTGAAATTAAAGGGACACTATAGTAGACCACATTAGCTCAATGAAGTGGTCTGGGTGCCAGGTCACTCAGGTTTTAACTCTTCACATGTAAACATAGCAGTTTCGTAGAAACTGCTGTTTACATAGCAGGGTTAATCCAACCTCTAGTGGCTGTCTTCCTGACAGCGGCTAGAGGCGCATC